ACCTGATTACCTCTAAACCATTATCATAGTCATCATCATAGTATATCGGTCGCCTTGCCTTCCGGAATCCGTGTTCATCTTCATTTAGCAGGGCTCTTCTAATCTAAATGAAAACAACAAATTAAGAATTGAGGATCTGACCCGAATAACCAAAATACTTAATAGCAAAAAGTTGGCATTTCATGGCAAAAACGGATAACATTTCATCACCTCCATACAAAATAAGATAGATGACCTATTCCAGTTATGGCTCTAGTATGACAACTACTACAAGGACACTTTCAGTCAACTTCAGGACATTGATTGGATATGTTAAAAAAACATGCAGAAAATTTACTAAAGCTGAAAGCAAATATTAATCACCTGTGGCGCATAAATATATCCCAAAGTTCCAAATATAGCACCTCCTAATAGAAAACCAGCGGCAAAATCACTTCCTCCACCCCTACTGCCATCACTGCATATATCAAAGGGAACAACAAAAGATGAGAATAGAGAAGAAATTAGCAGGATTGCTGTTGAGACAAAATCAACATAAGCAATTGGCAAAATCCTACTTTAAGTAAATCTAAACATAGCACAACATAAAAATCAGCTTCTTTTTGCTGGTACATGTAAAGAATAGCTTAAGAACATTCAGAAGGAAAAAAGAAAAATTGAATGGTATATACCATGGAGGAGTTGATCTGGCTCTATGCTTTAAATCTTTTGAGTTTGTGAGTTGAGAGGGGAGGTTAATTCAACATCCAATTTACAAGCTTTTTGACGGTCAAATAGAACTTTATTAATAGAGATATCATCCAATAAGCAACATAACAACTTGGGTACTAATAGCCAAGAGTCTGATAAGTTTTTCGGTCGAAATGTTTCTATTAACTTCATTATCCAAATGTGCCCAACAATGAGGCAGAAGAAACTCAATAAGCGGTATTGTAAGGACCTCGAGGCTTTTAGATATTTGATATTGCGACTTGATGTTTGACATTCGGCAATTGAATTTCAGATTCCATATTGAGTTTACACTATAATTGTCTCGAAACTTTATAACTTCCTTGGTATTGTGTTTTGCAGGTTTATGGTTTTGAATCAAGGAGTTTAGTAAGATAAAGGATTTGGAAAATGCATCATCATATAACACAGTATATGAACAATATTGTACAAACCTAAAACCAAAACCTTTAGAGAGATGTAGCTCAAGTAACAATGACTCATAACCACAGGTTCAGCTTACCCCTCATAAGCATACTCTTATGAGAAACATTATTATATGCATCTAAGCTTAGTTGACGTGGACTGAAATCCAGAATGACATACCGATATTCAGCACAAACTGAAAACTGGTGCTTTGATGGAATTGGTTTCTTCCGAACTGCCAAACTTGGCGTTTTCCCAAAGGTGCTGGACTTAGTGAAACAAACCTCAGGTGCCTTGAGATGAGAACAACCTATAAACCAAGAAAGAAATAATAACAAATTGAGAATGAAGCAAGAAGTCGATAACAAATCATTTCATTGTTATATGTCAGCATTAAAAGCAATCCATCACAAAACCCAAGATGAATCAATATAGTAAAAAACCCATGTGATGTGAAACCGTAAAAGTACTCCTTCTAGGATCTATCCCATTTTACATGTCTTACTTTCATTTTTGGATGTTAGCAATATGGTTGTTGTTGTTGTTATTATTATTATTATTTTGGCTTTTTACACCAAAAACCATAGAAATTTGATATCAATGGAAATCATTAGTAACCCAATTTCAGAAAAGAACATAAATTCAAAGAACAGATTTTCTATTCCTAAAATTTACATTCCCAGTCAACAAAACACATAGAACAAAGACAGAAGAAGTACACTGCTATTCATACCTGCCCCACTACAAACATAAGCATGTTCTTTCAAACCTAAATCACTTGAAACAAATCAAACAAAACATGTTTTATCATGAAACAAACTTGAAGCACATCTATTTCTAGTCCTTTTCCCTTCTTTAATCCTCTAACAAAGCAAATATTTGTCATTTATCTGTTGAACCTTCGGCACAGTAACCTCGAGCTTTATCCAACAATATCACTCAAATAAATTGAGAAAAAAAAATAGAGAGCAGCAATCAATAATTCAAATGATTAAGTTTAAATGAACTAAAAGAAACAAAAAATCAAAATTTAAATTGATATAAGCAAAAAAAATTAATTACAATCAGGAAGGAAAATTTATGAAGAAATAAAAAAAATGATTAAAGATGATAAACCTGAGATAGCAACGGAAGAGACGCAGGAAGCCATGAAAGATATAGAAAGAGAAATCAAAGGGTAGGTTGTTGTTTGGCCAGTTAGAGGGGAGAGGGGAATTGTTAAATGTATATATAATATTTTTGCAATTCGATTTTGGATTTTCATTTACGGATACGCCCCTTCTTCCTATAAGAGTATACTTTTTTATTTTTTTTACAAAAGATTAGAGGTGGGTTTTGTTAGGGTGCGGAGGATCGCATCTTTGCTGTTTGGTTTGAAAAATAAAGTAAAATCTTCTCATATTAAATCACTTCTATTTCAACTTAACTTTTGAATGATATCTCAATTTGACTAAAAATTATATTCCAATTTCATCGATGATATATTTTTTTATATGAAGTCTGGAGATTTTGAATCATAATTATTAAAATCAAAATTTTAATTTTTTTTTTCAATAAATCACGCAACCATTAAAAATGATAATTTTATTTTAATGATAAATAAAAAATTGTAAAATTTAAAATATTAGATTCAAATATCATAATATATAAGTATGATTTCATTTTATATGTTCAAATTTAATTGTTTATTTATTTATTTCATTATAATAATAATAATTATTTTTTTTACAAATATATTAATTTCATTATTAATTAAACTCAAAACTCAAAACTCAATATCATTTTGATGATCATAGTTAAAATTTTTCAAATTATTCTATATTTATGATCTCTCTTTAAAGAAATTCTCTCACATTTTGCTCAACAAGCAACTAGGAAAAGAAAAAAAAAAAGCCATATTTCATTAAGTAAATAAAAAAGTACTAATTTAAATTAAGGAAGGTCTCACCATTAGCAGATGAAGGCTGATGTATTGTAGCAATGCTTGCAAATTGGATTCAGTTGATATTATAAAAGTTGAGAAGGGTATTAAAGGAAAGAAAACATTGAAAGGCCTTTTGAGAAAAAAATCCCGGCCATAAAACGACGAGTTCCATAGTTAAGCCCAAAGTTTATCGCTTCGATGGATCCGCCCTCTTTGCTTCCTGCCAATTTTATTATTTATTTGACTCTTTTTTATCTTTTTCTTTTTAGCCACTTCACTTTTAAGTTGGAAAGAAATTTCGATTAAATTTTTTTTCACTTTCCATTGTTTATTTCTATGTCATCATTTTAAAACTAAAATAGGAAAATTATTATGAAATATCGGTCTATAATTTTGCAAAAAAAATATAATAATTAGATAAAAATTCTTTTTGAATATACACTACAAATAAAATTAAAAAAAAATGTCTCATGTTTTTATTAATTATTTTTATTTTTAATTTTACTATATTTTAAAGGATATGTATAAACATGTTAATTTTGATAGCTAAAGAATGTGGTAAATTTTCTTTTCTATTATTTTTTAAAAATAATTTAAAAGTGACTGCATAAGTATTATTTGCAAATGAAAAAAATCAATAAATAATATGAATACTTATTCCTTAAACAAAGGTTTTTAATCCATAATTAATGCAATAAAAATTTAAATTTAAAGTTAACAATGAAAAAGAGGTGAAAAAATCACATGCCAACAAGCACATTTTTCTGATTCAAGATGTAACTTCATAATTTTTTTTTTTCTAATTCTTATCTTGGTCTAGATTTTCCTAATTATAATTCAACAAAAATCAATGGGTATATACGTTTTAATTTTTCAAAAATAAAAAGTTAAAAGGTTAAAACTATTTTAAAATTATAATTCAATAATTATTTAAATTTTTAATATTTTATTATAATAAACCAAACTTTTAATATTTTATTTCGCCTCAATTTAGCTTTTAAATAGATGAAATTTAATCACATTTGAAAATTTATTTAATCAATCTCTAAATTATAATTAATTGAACTCTTAGAAGGATTTTAGAGAAAATGAAAAAAGAAAATAAAGAAGAAAAAGATTTATTTTATTTCATTTATTTTCACATATATTAATTGCAAAAAGTGATAAATTTTTATCTATTTTATTAATATCACATTAAAATTTTATCTTTATGAATAAAAAATTAAAAGTGTTTACTTTTTCATCCAATTAAATACTTAATTAAATATAAATAAATATTGAATCGATTTATTGCTTATACTAAAATATAATAACTTTTGTTGATTTTTTATTATAATTCAGGAGGTTTTATACCCTTTAGCCAAAACAAAAATAGATCTATATTGTTATTAAAATCTCTAATTAAATTTGGTATGACCAATTAAGTAATGCCAGTTTAGTTGAAAAAATATAAAATTTTTGAAAAATGATACAATAAATATAAAATTAAATACATTCATGTTTTTTAAATTTATAAAACATATTTTTATTTTAAAATTACAAAACTACTTATTTCTATATAAAAAAATAAATTTATATTTAATACATTATCAATTTATAAAATTTATTTACATACCATCTTATTAATAAATTTTTTTAAAAGAAATTAATTTTTGTGTATTTATCTTAAGAATTAGTAAAAATTTATATTTGATAATTGATGAGATGACATTATATAATTTACTACGGTGTATAAAATATATAAAAAATTTAAACTAAAAAAATATTAGTATAAAGTTTCTTTTAAAAACTTATCTTTTTAAAGAAAAAAAAAAAAGAAAAATGTACATAATAGGCGTGCCAAATCTTAGTAATGCCATAACTGTGTGATTTCTAATTAAATTACATATATTGGCAGACATTTATTAAAACCCATTAGAGCCCAAATAACTGAAACTACAAAATGAGTCATTAAATGTTTAAAGCCCAAACCCTCCATCATCAAACCTGGGGTTTTTGGCCGTCGCTTCCTTTTATCTCCTCCGTTTCGCGCCGCTCTTCTTCGCCGTTTGCTGCTTTTTTCTCAGAGCTGAATTCTGGTTTTGAAGAAGAATTGGAGTAAATTAAGAAAATAAGAAAGAAAAAATGAAGCTGGACGTCGACGTTTTGAGATATCTCTCCAAAGATGATTTTAGGGTTCTAACCGCCGTCGAACTGGGCATGAGAAATGTTTGAATGAATGATTCTTATTGTTTCTAAAAGTTTGTTAGTTTCTGTAATTATTTTTTAGAATTTTAATTTCATTATTAATTTTTAACCTTTTTTTTCAGCATGAAATCGTGCCTTCAGACCTCATCGACCGTATTGCTTCCCTCAAGTAATAATAATATTATTATTATTATTATTATTTTGATTTATAATTATGCCTTTTCTTTTGCTTTTTCCTTTTTTTGGTAAATAATAAAATGTATTAATTTTAATTTCAGGCATGGAGGCACTTACAAGGTTTTGAAGAACTTACTCAAGCATAAACTACTGCACCATGACTCTTCCAAATGTTCGTTTTACCTTTTTTTTAATTAATTTTTAGGCATTATTTTAATTTTTTGCTTCTTTTTTTTTGTTTAATAAGTTTAAAATAAATAAAAAATATTTTCCATATAAAGTTGGTAGTAATATATTTTGGAATAAATTAGAATTATAATCTCTTTGGAGAAACAAAATGCATGATTTTAATTTTATACAGAATAATTGTGTTGTTTTTATTTTTAGTCATTTGTTCATTTTAATCATTTTTTTTTTTCTATTTAGTAACTTTTTAGAGTTTTTTTCTCTTGAATTTAGATGATGGGTTTCGTCTTACATACCTTGGATATGATTTCCTTGCCATTAAAACCATGGTCAACAGGGGAGTTTTCACTGCAGTTGGTCGTCAAATCGGGGTCGGCAAAGAGTCTGGTAGCTCTTTCTACCTAAATCTACTAGTTTATATATTTTACTATTTCATAGCTGTTATTAGAAGTTATCTCATTTTTTGCTTGTTCAAGATATCTTTGAGGTTGCCCGCGAAGACGGAACTGTGATGGCAATGAAGTTGCATAGACTCGGTAGAACTTCCTTTAGGGCTGTCAAAACTAAGCGTGACTACTTAAGGCATCGAAGTAGTTATAACTGGCTCTATTTGTCTCGCTTAGCTGCACTCAAGGAATATGCATTTATGAAGGTTCTCTTTATATTTTCCCATTACTTGCTTTGGTTCTTTCTTGTAGTAACCAGGGTTGGATTTTATACTTGTGCTTCTCTTATGCAGGCTTTGGAAGAGCATGGTTTTCCTGTACCGAATGCTGTGGACTGTAATAGGCATTGTGTAGTTATGTCGCTTATCCAAGGTTATCCACTGTAAGATTTTCTCCATAATACTCTGAATATGTTTGCATTTAACCCTGTTGCATGCATGTCAAGTGGCTTTTTTGTCAATCATTTGGAAGTGAATGAACAAAATTGATAGCCACAAAAAGGGGAAAGGAATTATAATTTCTTGGTCGTTAAACTCTAACTTCTTTTTCATCCTTTTTTTCTCATGAAATGAGTGGCACTGGTTGTGTCAATAAACCGATGTTTTTGATGATATAATTTAATGTTAATCGGTGTCACAGTTTCAAATATTCTTGCTCTCTTTTCTGTTAGAATTGCTTGACAACTCTGGGTTTATCTTCATAATGTGTTGATAACTACTATTTGCCTCTCCTTTTTTCTTTTCTCATTTTCTTCACACATTTATTACCCTATACGGTGTCTATTGGAGTTACTTTGGTATGGCTGAGATGGCTTGGATTATTATTTTCTTTTGCATAATACAGTGTACAGGTGAAGCAGTTGCAAAATCCAGAGACAGTTTTTGACACAATCATTGGCCTTGTTGTTCATCTGGCAGAACATGGTCTCATTCATTGTGACTTCAATGAGTTTAACATAATGGTATGCATTTGAGGCACTCTATTTGGTCACACATGACAAATTTTTGCAGTTTTAGTTGTTTTCTTGTTAGCTTACAACTTTAGTGAGATCATGCAATTGAATGGGTGTCAATTTTTCTTTTTAATTAAAAGAAAAATACAAAATACTTTGTGAGCTTCATATTCCTGTTTTTAAGTGTAAAATTATTTAATATATATTTGAAATTTCTTTTCTCTGTAGATTGATGATGATGAAAAAGTGACAATGATTGATTTTCCCCAAATGGTATCTGTATCACACCGTAATGCACAGATGTACGATGCATTGTCTTCTTTCTGATGCTAGTCCTAGTTTTTATGCTCTTTTTACCTGTGTGAATCAGATGGTATATTCTCATTTACTTCTTTCTGTTGTTCAGGTACTTTGATCGTGATATAGAATGCATTTTTAAGTTTTTTGGCAAGAGGTCAGTGATTGTTTTTCTAATTTAATGATAAAGAGATGATGGTTTCAGAAATCCTTTATAGCTCTTCCAGTTGTTGCTGCTCTGATATTTGTAAGAAAGAAGCTAGTTGATAAGTATATAACAAATTGTCTACACATGCATGTCAACACGGACTATGAAACCATTTAGTTGGATTACACTATGGATAAATTTCTATGGAGGTAGTCACTTCGGCCATGGTAAACAACCTTGGCTTGTATTTAAACAGCATAACTTATGTGTTTTTTACCTAGGAGGGGATTATAGGGTTCTTACATCCATTTGATAACCTTTTCTAGCTGTAATTTATTTGTTCTATCCTATCTGTAGGTTTTTTTTATTGGCCAATCATCCTGTATAGTTGAAGGTGAAGTTTTGGCAGTAGGCAAAATCTTGTTAATGGAAATATGCCTTTGTTGACCAATTCCTCTAGGTGATAGTTGAAGTTTCAAAATGCATGTACATACTTTTACCTAACTTTCTGTAGAGTGCATCTGATGCTTCATTCCAAAATAATGCTTACTTCTGAGAATTTTATAGTCCAGAGAAAGAAGAATGATATAAGGGTTCATTTGTTTCATGGAATATGACTTTCGGAAAATGATTTCCGCATTTTCAGGTGTTTATTTGACCAAAAACTGGCTGGTTAATGAAAAATGACTTATTGATTAATGTAAAATAAGGTCATTTTTCTGGAAATTGTCTTACGGATTTGAAAATAGGAAGACATTTTCTGAAAAAAAGCTGTCTATGAGTAAAATTATTTATTAATACTTTTGAGCATAATTTTACTTATCAATAATATTATGTTAATAAATAATATTATATTATAATATATTAATAAATAATATTGTAATATTATAATAAATAATATAATAATAAAAATTATTAATTTAACTAATAAATATTATAATAATATATTATTAAATAATATACTACTAATATAATATATTAATAAATAATATAAAGAATAATAAATAGTTTTATTTTAAATATTTTTATATTAACATAATATTATTATTAAAATATAATTATTTTTTAATATTAATAATTTTGATATATTTTAATAATAAATAAAATTTAATATTTTAATAGTTATCTTAATATTATTTAAAAAAAAAACAAATTTTTTAAAAAACAATCAAACAATGGAAAACATTTTTCATTAATTCATCCAAACAACAGAAAATCTATTTCAATTCAGAAAATATAAACATTTTTTAGAAATCATTTTCCTCAAATCATTTTTTGCAAAACAAACGGAACTTAAGTGGCTAGCACAGTCATGCTTTAATTGAAGTGTTAAGTTTGAAGTATCTGTCTTATTCACTCAACTTGGTGATAAAGACAAAGGAATTCACTAATAATTATTTTATGATTCCCTTTTGTGTTTATAAATTGTTTCTTTCAATTCCACTGCCATATAATTCCAACATCAGTGTTTCTGCTCTTATTTTCTTTGGTACTTACGGATTTTATGTGTTTTACTGAGATTTGATGAGGGAGGGGTGCTTTTCTTGTTTTTTTGTATCTTTTTTGGCTGCTGCAATTCATGCTATTAGATCATGAACTTTTTCCAATGTCTTATCTAGGTTCAACTTGTCCTTTGAAGAACGCTCTGATGATGTTGATGATTCAGAGGTAGAAACAGAGGAAAGTGGCAGGCCTACCTTTTCTTCAATAACCAAAACTGCTGGTTTTCTTGACAAGGAACTTGCTGCCAGTGGATTTACAACAAAAGATCAGGATGACATTCAGAAAGTATGATGAAGCATGCTTTACCGTAATTACCATTTTCTGTGTGTTCACATTTGTTATGTGTTGGTAAACTATTCTAGAAATACGCCATATGTTTTGGAATCGTCTTCTATCAGACTTGCATCTCAAATGTTGGAAACTAGTTGGAGACTTTGAACTTTTGCAGCATAAATATGATGATCTTCTTTTGTGGGGGAAGTCATATCATACTTAATAATTGCAGCCAATGCTATTTTATGCAGTTCATTGAAGGCAATGTTGCAGAGGATGATGTTTCTGACAATGAACATGAATCTGAGTCATGCCAAACAAACATAAAGGGCTTTGATTCATTGAACTTAGATCAGGTATGTTCTTCAGTATCTTTTGATGTTATGTTGTGATTTATGTGATCTGATTCACAATTTTTTTTTATTTCCAGCCTCTAAGTAATCCATAATCAATGAAACAATATTGGTGCATTAACAAAATATTAAACAATAGCTATGACAGCTGTTGTAGTCCTGCTGGCAATGAATGAAGGAACTAGGCCAGAAGGGAGACTAAAAGTTTTGGCTCTGCACTTACTTTTGCATTTCTGCATGTGTGTTGCCTTTCTTTTATCCGCATTTTATAAACTGAAGAGTTTTGTGGATGCATGTGGACATTTTCTTGTGTTACATATTACTCTCTCTATTTCTCTCTCTGGGTGCTGAAGATCTTAAGGACTATTGAAAAATAATTTCAGGAAGAACCAACTTCAAGTTGTAATGAAGAAGGGCAAATAGATGAAAACCAGCATAGCCCTGAAGCAGGTCAAAGTGGTGATCCTGAAAGTCAAAATTCAAGCAATGAGGTATATATTATTTGTCTTTCCTCCAACCATGTTATATATACATATATATATATATATACATGCTTGAAGACAAAACGTGCATTTTTTTAAAGTAGTTCTAATAATAAAAAATGATATGAAAGTCAAGAAAGTAGATGAAAAGGTTATTGTGGATAGAAACAAGTGGTGCAAAAAGATTCGAACCCATGATCTAACATGATTCGTTTTAGGCCTTTTATACAGCCAATCCCAAAGTTATGGGATATAACGCCTAGTATGTTCTTATTGTAGTTTTAGCATTGTTTGAAGTAGTTAGTTGTGACCTACTTTTCCTTTTCATGTAAGATGATCATACATATCCTACTTCCTTATGGCTTTCTTTCCTTAAATTATGATATGATTCTAGATATTTTCTTTTGTTGTTCCAGGAGGAAGATAATCAGAATGCTGATGATGCTCAACTAATGAAGAGCTTGGCCAAGCAGAGACGACGTGCAATGGCTGCTGCACGTAAAGGACGGAAGAATATTGCCTCCAGAAATTCTTACAAAGACAAAGGGGGTAAATCTTCGAACAGTTCTAAAATCCAGAAACAGTTGAGTAGTTGGTAAATTTTATTTTATAATTGATCAACGCAATAGCGTAACTGCGTTATGTTTTATTTTTTTAAGGGATAATAACCTAAATAGCCCCTAAATTATTGTATTTTTTTTAATTTTGATATCTAAACAAAAAAAAATTTTAATCAAGTACTTAAATTTCATTTTGGTCTAACAATTAGCCCCACAATCAACCCCGTTAAAAAAAGTTGCTCCTTAGCCGGACTTTAACCAATTAAAGGCTGATAAATGTTTAAAAAGTTCCATGACATTGTGGACATGGCTGTCAATTTTCTTTCACACAAACTTTAATAAAATAAAAAATAAAAAAATTTTACATACCTCGAAAAAACAGAAAGGTAAAAATCCCAAAATCTCTAAAACCCAAGACCAAATAGCTTGAGCTTTTTCAATTTGTGTCACCAAAATTGCTTGAAAAGAACCCACCTTTCTCGCTTGGATCAAGCAACGAGATCTCAATGGGTGTTTCTTGGTACATCTAGGGTTCGATAAAGGGAACCTATGCCAGCCGACTCTCAAATCTCTTCAACGCTCCTCACGTCGTCCGTAAAAAAGTTGACTCCTGAATCCTTTTTAAGCAAGTTCTTTTCTTTTCCCTCTTTATTAGATTTTTAGATCTGTTTATTTATTTAATTTTTTCCTCTTAAAATTTATAAAATTAATTTCCAGTAGTAATTTTCAAGATTTTGATTTTTTTTTTTGATGTGAAGTTGTTAATTTATTACTAGGCTGGCTACAACTAACGGATATTGTGAGCCAAGGAAATTTGGTTTTGAATGAAATAATATTAAGTTCATTATTTAAAAAAAAAAATTCTTGAAATTGGGAAAGCAATGGTGAGCTGCCATTGAATGGAATAGAGAGACTTCAAGGAACTGGGTTCTTGAGTACTGTTTTTCAGCCAGAAATCCTAATTTTTCCTTTTTCCTGTATTTTTTTTTTATTGAATGAAGAAGGATTATACAATCCACGTGTAGACAGACATATCATGCCACGTCAAATATGACATGGCTTTTCTTTAACACTTGTTATTTTAATTGGTTAAAGACCATGTCAATTTTTTTAACGGTGTTAAGTCATTGAATATATTGGTATATGGTATCAAAGTTCTAAGTACTAAATTAAAAATTTTTTATTTAAATATCAAATTATAAAAAAATGCAATAATTCAACAACCAAATAGGTATTATCCCTTTTTTTAATTGGAAGTGAATTCAACTTTAGTTCCTATCCTATTAATATTAATACTGCAAAATCCCATATAAAATTTTCAAACCACACAGCGAAATTAAGAATCCATTAAAGAAGCACAGGTACCAACCATCAATCACTGAAACTCAAACCTCTTGACTAAGCAAACAAACACGTCTTACATGGAAGCTTCAAATTCAGGGTCAGTCTCGACCGGCACAGTAGGTGATTTTTTGCCACCCCTCAAACGTGAGGATACATTGTCGATGGCAGAATTGAGTTGGCCGATTTTTGCATTCAGGATCTGCCTGGTTTTCTGCTTCCAATATTCTGAATTAATATAAAGATAATAATAGCATATATCGATGGACAGACTTGCAGAAAAAAAGTAGAACCTGATTACCTCTAAACCACTATCATAGTCATCATCAGAATATATCGGTCGCCTTGCCTTCCGGAATCCGTGTTCATCTTCATTTAGCAGGGCTCTTCTAATCTAAATGAAAACAACAAATTAAGAATTGAGGATCTGACCTGAATAACCAAAATACATAATAGCAAAAAGTTGGCATTTCATGGCAAAAATGAACAGCGGATAACATTTCATCACCTCCATACAAAATATGATAGGTGACCTCTTTGGGTACTAATGCCAGTTATGGCTCTAGTATGACAACCACTACAAGGACACTTTCAGTCAACTTCAGGTCATTGATTGGATATATTAAAAACATAGGCAGGAAATTTACTAAAGCTGAAAGCGAATATTAATCACCTGTGGCGCATAAATATATCCCAAAGTTCCAAATATAGCACTTCCTAATAAAAAACCAGCGGCAAAATCACTTCCTCCACCCCTACTGCCATCACTGAATATATCAGAGGGAACAACAAAAGATGAGAAAAGAGAAGTTAGCAGAATTGCTATTGAGACAAAATCAACATAGGCAATTGGCAAAAATCCTACTTTAAGTAAATCTAAACATAGCACAACATTAAAATCAGCCTTTTTTTTCTTTGCTTGGTACATGTACAGAATCAGCTTAAGAACATTCAGAAGACAAAAGAAATATTGAACAGTATATACCATCGAGGAGTTGAGATGGCTCTATGCTTTACATCTTTTGAGTTTGTGCATTGAGAGGGGACGTTAATTCAGCATTTAATTTACAAGCTTTTTAACAGTCATATAAAAATTTATTAATATAGCTATCATCCAATAAGCAACATAACAACCATTGGGTATTAATAGCCAAGAGTCTGATAATTTGTTCCGTCAAAATGTTTCTATTGACTTCATTCTCCAAATGCGCTCAACAATGAGGCACAAGAAACTCTATAAATGGTATTGTAAAGAACTCAAGGCTTTTAGATATTTGATATTGATACTTGATTTTTGACATTTGGCAATTGAATTTCAGATTCCAGATTTAGTTTACACTACAATTGTCTCGAAACTTTATAACTTCCTTGGTATATCGTGTTTTGCAGATTTATGGTTTTGAATCAAGGTAGTTTAGTAAGACAAAGGATTTGGAATGTGCGACATCCTATAACACAGCATATGACCAATATAGCACAAACCTAAAACCAAAACCTTTAGACAGATGTAGCTCAAGTAACAATGACTCATAATCACAGGTTCAGCTTACCCCTCATAAGCATAATCTTATGAGAAACATTATTACATGCATCTAAGCTTAGTTCACGTGGACTGAAATCCAGAATGACATACCGATACTCAGCACAAACTGAAAACTGGCGGTTTGGTGGCACTGGTTTCCTCTGAACTGCCAAACTTGGTGTTTTCCCAAAGGTGCTGGACTTAGTGAAACAAACCTCACGTGCCTTGAGATGAGAACAACCTATAAACCAAGAAAGAAATAATAATAAATTGAGAATGAAGCAAGAACTCAATAATAAATCATTTGATCGTTATATGTCAGCATTAAAAGTGATCCATCACAAACCCCAAGATGAATCAATATAGTAAAAACCAATGTGATGTGAAACGGTAAAAGTAGTCCTAGGATCTATCCCATTTTACATGTCTTAACTTCATTTTTGGATGTTAGCAATGTGGTTGTTATTTTTCATAATTTATTGCACTTGATCCCTAAATCTTCTTCTTTTTTTTTTTTTTTTGGCTTTTTACACCAAAAACCATAGAAATTTGATATCAATGATAATTATAAGTAATCCAATTTCAGAAAAGGACATAAATTCACAGAACAGATTTTCTATTCCTAAAATTTACATTCCCAGTCAACAAAACACAGAACAAGACAGAAGAAGTACACTGTTAATCATACCTACCCCAGTACAAACATAAGTATGTTCTTTCAAACCTCAATCACTTGAAACAAATCAAACAACACAAGCCGAATCAAGAGACAAACTTGAAGCACATCTATTTCTAGTCCTTTATCCTTCTTTAATCCTCTAACATAGCAAAAATTTATTATTTATTTGTTGAACCTTCGGCATAGTAACCTCGAGCTTTATCCAACAATATCACTCAAATAAATTCAGAAAAAAAAAAAAAAGAAAGCAGCAATCAATGATTCAAATGATTAAGTTTAAATGAACTAAAAGAAACAAAAAATCAAAATTTAAATTGATATAAGCAAAAAAAATTAATTACAATCAGGAAGGAAAATTAATGAAGAAAAAAAAAAGATCAAAGATGAAAAACCTGAGATAGCAACGGGAGAGAAGCAGGAAGCCATGAGAGATCTAGAGAGAGAAACCAACAAGTAGATTTTTTTTTTTTTTGCCAGTGAAAGGGGAGAAGGGAAATGTATATAATATTTTTGCAATTTTTTTATTTACGGATATGCCCCTTCTTCCTAGAAGAATATTTTTTAAAATTTTTACAAAAGATTAGAGGTGGGTTTGTTAGGGTGCGGAGGATCACATCTTTATTGTTTGGTTTGAGAATAAAGTAAAATTTTCTCAGATTAGATCAATCTATTTCAACTCAACTTTTGAATGATATCTCAGATCGTTAGAAATTATATTCCAATTTATGTATGATAATTTTTTTTTATTTAAAGTGTCAAGGTTTTGAATAATAATTATTAAAATCTAAAGTTTAGCATTCTTCTAGTAAATCATGCAATCATTAAGAATGATAATTTTATTTTAATGAAAAATAAAAAGTTTTAAAACTTTAATATATTAGGTTCTAATCTTTCTTATATAAGTATGGTTTAATTCTATATGTTTAAATTTATTTGTTTATTTATCTATTTTATAATAATAATAATAATAATAATAATAATAATAACTTTTCTTTATAAATATATTAATTTCATTATTAATTAAACTTAAAACTCAGAATCATTTTGAAGATCATAGTAAAAATTTTTCAAATTATTCTATATTTATGATCTCTCTTTAAAGAAATTTTCTCATATTTTGCTCAACAAGGAACTAAGAAAAGAAAAAAAAAAAAAGCCATATTTCATTAAATAAAAATTAGTACCAAATTAAATTAATGAAGGTCTCACCATTAGCAGATGAAGTCTGATGTATTGTAGCAATGCTTGCAAATTGGATTCACTTGATATTATAAAACTGAAAAGGGTATTAAAGGAAAGAAAACATTGAAAGGAGTTTTGAAAATCCCGGCCTTAAAATGACGAGTTCTATGGTTAAGCCCAAAGTTAGCGCATCGATAGATCCGCCCTCTTTGCTTCCTGCCAATTATTATTTATTGGACTTTTTTTTTTTTTATCTTTTTCTTTTTAGCCGCTTCATTTTTAAGTTGGACAGAAGTTTCGATTCAATTGTTTTCATTTTCCATATGTTATTTCTATGTCATTTTTTAAACTAAAATAGGAAAAATTGTTATGAAATATCGGTCTATGATTTTGCAAAAATATTATATAATAATTAGATAAAAATTCATTTTCAATACATTAATAGTAAAATTTTAAAATTTTACAAATAAAATTAAAAATGTCATTAAAATTGTTTTTCTTATATCTTAAAAGATATGAATCAACATGTTAATCTTGATAGCTAAAGAATGTGGTAATTTTTCTTTTCTTTCAATAGAACAAAGACTTATAGATTTCGAATATATATCAAAGAAAGACCAAAACAAATACGATAATTGACACTATATCAAAAGGGAAGCAAACCCAAATAAAAAACCATGATCATTAGAACTTGAAATAGGAGAATGGATTTGATGAGATGGAGATCGTGCAACCTAAGACTAATACTTCTAAATGCGTACCGGAAAGAAGGACGAAACAGGTTCCACGTTCAATGCTCTTTTGATAATCATAACTCTGCTTGCTAACCAAATGGAAAAATCATTAGCAGATTGTGCAGAAACTCCGACATTCCTCCCCCCTCATCCAAAATGGAAAAAGCAGCATCACCTGTCAATTCCCTATTGGTGTTACCCTGCTAATAAAACCTTTCAAAGTAATAACTGTACCAACACTAATGAGGATACTTAGCAAGCAAATTGAAAAAAAAAAAATCAACAGAAAAGAAAACAAAATTCCTCCAGATCAAAGCATTGGCTTGCAAATTTCTTGGTGATATTTTGAAATAAGCCGGCTTTCATTCTCTTTATATACAGACAGCCGTCACTACGTCTATGCACTCAAAAAAAGAAAAACAAGAAAAAACAAAAGAGAAAAGTTATTGCTAAGTTCTGTATGGGTTATGAACAGATGGAATGTGGGTTCTCCTACAAAGCTCCATAGAAGGCCATTCTTCAAGAGCTAGTGATCTGTGGTATACACTTACCACACTCATGTAGTAAGGCAACGTAATGTACAAACAACCTAGGATCACCATGAGACTATTTGTCAGGTAAGCCCCCAAACAGTAGGAAGGAAGTATTCACAGGATGCCTTCCGGGCAAGAGCTGCTCTGTTTTAGGAACAGACTTCACATTCCGTTCATTTTCTGGAAATGGGAATGAGAGGGAAAGGGAAAGGGAGGCAGATACATCATCCTCCTCGTCCTTTCCTATCACCTTATCCCGGGTCCTGTCCAGGTTGTCATTTTTGTCTACCGTTTCAACAAAGAAAGGCAGGATTTTGTTGTTTAGTGGTCTCATCTCAGCCCCCAAAGCAAGCTCAAGGTTGGGAGAGGAATTGTGAACTCGGTCCTCATCTTTTATGTAGAGCTCCTTCCACAGTTTAGAGTTGTCCCCCAACCGAAGTTCCCTTGCACGATGTGAATCTACAGGAAAGAAGAACCTTTCACTACTTCCCATGTCCTCCGGGATAACTTTTTCTTCCCAAGCAATGTTACATCTCTTCTCTTCAACAGAAGAGCTAGAACTCAGATCATGCCTATCTGATGCTAAACTATCACTAAAAGGACTTTGATGTCTAGTACTGCTATATTGGTATATTCCACTGAAACCTATCTCCAGCTTTTTATCGTCACTTCCTACATCTACAGAAACTCTCTTAACCTCACTCCCTGGCATTTTTTGACTTGTATCAATGGAAGTTTCTGAATCTGTTTCTGTAAGATCCAAGAATGGGCGTTTCCGATGATTCACCTGCCAACAGTCAAGATCTCTCCTCCAAGAAGTTTTTCCATCTGAATACCCATCGTCCTTTGAATCCCTAATCTTAACAGAATCTCCATCAATCCTCCCCACAACAACTGCCTCTTGGTTTCCAGCGGGGCGATTTTTTAAAGATGGATAGTCTTCTCCAACATGCATTTCCTCTTTCTCAACTTTGAAAGAACCACTATTGGTTTTAGTAGCTTGAAGACAAGGTTTGAGCTCAGACTCAAATCTACAATCTGGAACTTTGCTCTCTTCCTGCAAATTAATGGCAAAGGTCAACATTCATAGGAAGGAGTTTTTTTTTTTTTTTTTTCATTTTCCTGTTTGCCTAAAAACAAAAGCAACAAGTTCAGAATAATACTAAAAACTCAAGTAAACAAATCAACTAAGAAAATCTTTGAAATATTAACGACTTCTTTCAACCAACCCCCACCCTTCCCACCTCACTCAAAATAATAATAATAATAATAATAATAATGCTCCAATTAATAGTCCTTCCCAGGTACTTCAGACACTATTGATCTTGCTGATCAAGGTCAATCAGAATTATCTGCTCAGTAAACATAACTTAGTAGAACTGTGATACAAAACATTTTCCCATATTTATGGCCCAAACTCTTTAGCAGTCTTGAGTTCCCATCTAACTAAACTGGTTGAATAAAAAGGAGTCTCGAACAGAAACGAAAATATATTAGATATTAAGGCCATGTTTGATGCATAGGATGATAGATAAGATAGGATAGTAATTATCTTATATTATGTTTGATTTGTAACTAAAGAAATGGATAGAATTGCAATGAGTATTAACTATCCTCTTGGTATAGGATGATTCAATCCTCCTAAAGTGAAGTGGATTATTTTTAATCCATGGGATTGAACTTATACGTCCTATTATACCCTTAAAAATTATATCAATAATTTAAATTGCATAAACTTTGAGGAAAGATAATTTTAACCAATAAATAAATTATCCTATCATAATCCTTGAACATATAAAACACAAGATAAGATGATATTATTTAATATAATTCTATTCATAATATCATCTTATCCTATCTTATCATAATATTACGTATTAAATACATCCTAAGCATACATAACTTAAAATATATTAGATTCTAGTCTTAAAATAAATAGGTAATTGATAATATATTAAGAAAAATACGAGAAAATAATTAATATTTGAAACAAAACACTAATTAATGTAGAGTTGCTCAAGGATTCTAATGGAGCATTTAACCAATTTAATGAGGTCCACAGAGTACCCAAGATTAGGGGTGTAAATGATACACTTATACTCGCAAACTATTCCGAATCGATTCGAAAAAAAACTCAAATTCAGCTCGATCATTGTCAAACTGAGCTCGAGCTCAAGTAGCTTAACTTATCCAGCGAGCCAAATTCAAGCATTTTTATGCTTGACTCGAGTTGCTTGCAAGCTTATTGAGCTTTTTTATTTTAATATATTTTATTATTTTAATTATAAATTATAATTTTGGTCTTAAAATATAAATCCCTAAAACTAGAAGCCCTACCTCTTTCGATCTCACGACTCTCCCATTCCCCCCCCCCCCCCCAAATGGCGCTATCCCTATCTCTTTCAATCTCACAACTCCCTCCCCCCCCAAAACAGCGATATTCCATGTACATGACAAAAGACTTTGTTCCAATGTCTGTGTTTTCCGAGACATCCCAAGGTAAGCATATGTTATTCCAGGAAACACTAGTGTTAACACTTTGGCATGGATAAAGTGCTTCAACAAGTAGGTTTTGTCATTTGCGTTTACTTGATATCCATCTCTGAGATATTTCTGATCTAGTTTTGCTCCATACTCTTTACATGAAAATTGGGGATATTTAATTCTTATGTTATTAACAGATTAAATTGTGGTGCTATGATGTGTTTTCTTTCTAGTTGTTAAAATAGGCTGCTGGTCTGTAAGGGTAAATGTGAAATCCTAACATGGTTTACAGTTTACTTTGGGAAAGAGGCCTCCAATGTCCAATTTCTTCAAAGAGGAGAAAACAAAGGGTCAGCTATCCAGAAATCACAAATTTTCTATTTTGATTTGAGGCGAGCGAGCTTAAGCTTGGATTGAGTTTTACCTTGAGTTGAGCTCGAGTTTGAAAAATTGAACTCGATCAAGTTCGAGCCGAGCTTCAAACTTCTATTTTTAAGTCGAGCTCGAGCTCGAGCATCCTAATGTACCGGCTTGACTCAACTCAATTACACCCCTACCTGCGATCACACCCTCCCTAAAAGAAACATCATGCATTCCGCTTTTTTCCCTTTAAGAGCAGTAGGGCAGAGAGGGAAAGGAAGAAATAATATGCACTAGTCCAACTACATAGCCAAACACTTATTCAAAAAAAAAACACACATACAGCCAAATATTGTAACCATGCACCAATAACAGGACAAAACAACCACCAATGTCATCCAACTAGCGTCATTCATTAGAAAAAGCCAGCCCCGTGGACAGGCAAGCATTCAGCCTTCAGTCAATAACAGTTGAGGAGCCACTTGATGCCCGTCATAGTAAGAACATTCAAATTGAAGTGATATAAACATACAAAACAGAAATGCAACAACAATCCATGACTGCATGGAATTTGACTTCATGTTGACTTCTGTAAGGATGTGCAGAGAGATATAACAGGGCAACAGCGCACAGAAAAAATTTTCAATTGGAGCCTATGAAATATTTAAAAGGTTTCAATAGAGACCTATGAAATATTTAAAAGGTTGAGATTTACATAAATGAACCTTAACATAAATTTTAACAGTACTAACATTAGAAAAAAGAATCAAAAACATTCCTCCACAAACTAAGAAACTGAATAGAATCAGAGATCAACCTGTAAACTTATAAGCATTTTGCACCGTAAATTGCAACACACATTCATTAATACGCAATATTGATTCTTAATTTCCTGAATAGGAAAATATTAGGCTTTGTTTAGTTTGAGAAAATATTTTTTGTTTTTGTTTTTCATCTTCTATTTTGTTTTCTTAAAAATGTATTTGGCAAACAAAAATAAAAATTGTTTTCTAAAAATACAAAAATAAGGAAATAAATAAAATATTCAATGATATTACTATTAATGGCATCTAATTATAAATATAATATATATTTATTAATTAACGACATTAAAAAGTGTTCAAACATGGTAACTTGCAACTCACAAGGAAAAAAATAATGTACATCCCTTGTTTTCTTAATTGAAAACATGTTTTTTTTTTTAATATTTCAACCCATTTTCTTTTTTTTTTCTAAAAATTTATTTTTATTTTTAATTAACATGTTTTCACTTGTGTTATTTATTTTTCAAGAAAATGAAAACAGAAAATGACTCTGTTTTCTAAAACCAAACACTATCTTAATTCCTTATTGATTTCATTAGGTCACTAAATAAGTAACACCCCATAACTGATTGAAGGGTTGAAGATTAGTAAATAATGGCAAGAACAAACATAAGCAATCAACTATAGCAACAACATGAACTTGACAGTTTTTTCATTGACAGAAGAACATATTACCAGATTACTGGTGAATTTCATTTCTGGATGCACCTGTGTGCTGCTTGTTGCAATTCTTGACAAGAATTTGGTGTCAATTTTACCATCTTGCTCCTCTGATTTTGCTTTTATTCCCACATGTGTCTGCTCAAAAGAAGAGTCCTTGTTACCATCTCTATCTGTTGAGATACATTTCTTTTCGACAACAATGGTTACTGGGACTACATTGTGTGAACTGTCACATGCAGCTGATTCATTTTCTACTGGCTGAGGAATATCAGTAGATATCTCTCTCTCCAAACGTACCATACTTGCATCAGGGATGCATGCACTCTTTGAGGAATCTGAACAGTTAGCTCTTCTCCCCTTGAAAACACCCCAGAGGAATAATAAGGTATTCCAACCTGCAAACAGCAAGTCACAAATTTTAGCAATCTTTTTCCCCCACTCAGTAAGAAAATAAAACTTATTAAACACAAAAACAGGGAATAACGAAATCCAACAAAAACAAAGAATAATCTAAAACCTAAGAGACACAAACCAAAATAAGTCTTAAATAACTCCAAGGAAATGATCTACATAAGAATGAAGTCACACTCAAAACCTTCCTTTAAATACATTCTGTAAATGGCACCATTGCCATCAATGTTATCAAACCAAAACCAAAAAACAAAACAGCAAAACCCCCTTTAAAAGTATGGAAGGTGTGCTTAAGAAATGGTAACCATTTGCAATACATCAGCAAACCTATAGTCTACAAACAAATTTCTCAAACCCAAAGACTAAAGTACTGTAATCATGTTCTAATGCAGTGTGCAGCCCCGAAGTTGACAAGCGAAAAAGAAAACACTCAGTAGCAACAGAGGCTTTTCATAACGCCTTAAGCAGAGTTTATAACCAAAGGACATTTCTTCTTTTTTTTTCGCCATCACAAGGATCCTTTGTTTGAAACACTAAGAGATGACATTACTGAAAACCAGCCTACAACTTCGTCTTAATATATCATATCATCAATCTTAACAGGTAGCTCTAGCCCAAACAAAGGCATGCTAAAAAAGAGTCAACCAAATCAATTTCTTTAAATCTAAACAGCCCTACAAATTAAGGATTTCGGTGGATAACAGTTTTAGTTAGATCCATATAGCAGGCACATTTGTCCATTAATCCACAAATCTAGAGCATAGAAGTGGAAAATGGAGAGTCTAGGCACATCATCACCTCATTGCACATCTTGCTAAAACACACTTGATCCAATTACCATACTTTGAAATAAAGAGATGCTGCTTTTTCCTCATACTTTCCGGCTATTGCGGTAGGAACCCAGCTTTGAGGCTCATCCAATTGTTTTTAAGAATGCAAGTTTCAATAGATGCATGCTAAGAGGGACAAGAACCAAAACAAAAAAAAAATGCATCAGTAAAAAAATGTTTCTTATTTCAATGGGAAAAATCAAAGGGAAGAAGTTCGAGAGCACATTAGGAGGTTGTGAATATTAAGGAATTCCCATAACCAAGAAATATGGTTAAGGATTGAGATTTATTGAGTCATTGCTGTTTATATTTGGCAAGTATGCAAAAAGCAAATATCAAAATTAGCCCCCATGACCATGCTCTACCAGTACCTACAAAGCAACATAGTGTGGTGCAGACAAACAGACATATCCCTTTATCCTTGCCTTGTCATGAATTTTGGTCAAAGCATATACAGATATACTCCAACCAAAAGTAAAATTACAGGGTACTATACTGCATCTGAATATCTCAATTTTGTAACAATCCTTACGCTGGCAATTTTCAGGAAGCTGGTTGGATGGGAATATCAGGAGTTCAACACCTTCAAACCTTCCTTTGAGGGCAAGATCATTCTTGACCATGGTATCCACAAGGACCTTGTAGTTCTTCTCATAACTGCAACATAAGCAGAAGAAATCAACTTTAAGAAAAACCGAAAGCAATGAGAAATTGCATCAATGATCAACCCAACTGGAGAAAGGAGAGAGGAAGATGGGTTCCAAACAAGGAAAAAGAAACAAAGTATATTCTTATCTACCTTTCAAGGTCCTTGGCAAAGAAGTAGAGAGCAATATTATCTTCCTTAGGACCATTGTTGTGAAATTGTATGGGCCAAGTGCTCAGGCGAGGTACTTCATTCAAGGAAACTTTGTGGGGAAAAGTGTTGACCACTTCAAGCACTTTAGGTGATGCAAGGGTTGAGAGATGGGCTTGAATTCCACCACAAAACTCAAGAGGTTTTCCGCTTTTATGCACCTCAAAAGCCCCTCTGCAAAAAAGTAACAGAATCTATCTTATTTAAAAAACATCTCCAGGCACAGTATGCTGCAGCAATAAATGAAAATGACACCAAAAAGGAGCATCTTTTTAAGCCAAAAAAATAGTTCAATAGAAGGACAAGAATCTTACTGCCAGATGTATTCATGTTCTGGGATGGTTGACATCTTCAAGACGGCAGACACTGTAGCTAAAGGAGGGACAGAGATCTCTCTCATTGAAAGATCGCCAACAGAAGAAACTATAGAGACAGAATCAGTGGAAAGTGAATTAAGCAGCTTCATGCTACCAACGGAAGCTTGATTACAAAGATTTGTTTGCCCTTCATGGGTACCTTCAACAGAAATCATATTCTTTGCCTTATTGGAAACTGATGATGTATCTTGAGAAGTTCTTTCAAATATTCCAGGCCTCAAACGGATAGCTGCCTCAATTGCAGCTTTCAACTTATTGCCTTTATTTATCTCCCTAAATGTTTTTGGAGCAGACAGATCAGCACCAGAAGCCAGAGAGACTGAGCAATATTCAGCTGTATGACCCATTTCTTTGCATTTCACGCATGGGACACTTTTTGAGGGGTGACTAACAGAGCTCTCCCTAGACTTCTCACTCTGATTTGTTGAATCTAATGACCGAGATAGAACATCTGACATAACTCCATTAAAGTTACTGGGTTGCCTCTCAGCCGTCCATGAAGAACTTGATGAGGGTTCCTCCTTTAGGCTTACTTGGTTTAACTTCTGATCAAAAGAAATGCACCCATTGGTGGATGAAACTCCAACAGCTGCAAAATAAGAAGAATGCCTTAACTTGTTGGGATCAGCCAAAAGAAAACAACAACAACAGCAATAAAGATGAGGTAAAATAAGACAATATACAGCAAAACATTCTACTTAAAGTGAACACTAAAAGGATTAAAAAAAAAAAATAGCAGTCTCTCCATCAGAATGTCAAAACATACCTGCAGCAACTGCATTTTCTACACCTTTACGACCTAGATTGCTGGTTATTCTTGATAAAGTACTTGTTTTTCCATCAGACTGAACAACCTTAGTTTCTCGGTTGTTGCTTGCGGAAGAATAAGAAATTATATCACCACGAGGTGTCAGTTTCTGATCAACCTTAGGTGTGGAGACAGTCGAACTAGAGCGATCCAATTTCGAGAAATTTTTCCTTTCTGATGATATCCGCTCATTAACTTGCTTTAATCCTTTCAGATCTTGAACATGAGGATATTTAGATGATAGCATTTTAAACTTGGATTCCCCAATGTTTAACCGTCTTGAGTTTGTAGATTTAAATGACATGGATTTGCCCATCATTCTAGCAGGCTCCTGCTTGCTACCAAGCGATGCACGTTCTCTAGCACTTTTCTGTTTCTGAAGAACAACTTCATCTACAAGCTTCACTTTGGGTTTGGAATTTAAGGTATTGAATGAGTTGGATTTCAATAATGTTCCTGTATCAAGTAGAACAGTAAGCCAATGCTTAAAATTAACAAATATATGAGAAAGTTTTAGCCAACGGAATGAACTCACTTACCCTTTGGTGTTTGCAGCCGTGGGCCATAAGTAGGAGATCGTACGGTTTCTGCCATATCATTACCAGAATGATTATTAAGAGAAATTTGGGGAGATGGCCTCAGTTTCGCCTTGTCTAACTTCTTGAATGAACCCTCTCGAGACAAAGCAGATATTCTGCTGGGGCTCAGTGATTTCGGTGATCCTATATTTGTTTCGACAGCCTGCCTTTTCAGAGCAAAAGCACCCTCTAGATTTTCTGCATGTTTCTTAACTAAGCTTGGTGTACTTGAGCTAGGTTTGTTTTCTTTTTTTCCCTCAGCATCCAAACCTTTAAAATTCAATTGCAAAAGGCGGTTAATACATGCTCTTGTCAGAGTGCCATTTATTATTCCATCTGTTTGATAACTAACCTTGCTTTTGGCTTCCAGTTTCCTCAGCCAGCTTGCATTCTTCACAAAGCCAATCACCTTCAGGTACTTTTGGAAGCATTTCTCGCATACAGTAACTGATCAATAGCATTAATAACGAAAAACTCGGCAATGAATATAGGCACATAGATAAGAATTAATAGAAATGCAACAAAACCTGATGACAAACACATATGGATAAAGGGATTTGTACACTTACGTGTGCTCTGCACCATCAGCACACTTGCTACATATAGCAAGCAAATCTTCTTGTCCTGCATCCCCACAAATATCACATACCTTAACCTATTCCAGACAAATAGGAGAAACAAAGAAAAGATAATCAGCAAAGCTTATTGATATTAAAAAAAAAGTATTAATAATTTTTTTTTTAAAGAATAGAAAAAAGAAAACAACAGATAAAGCAACCCTACAAGGTAAAAAGAAAAGGAATGCTTCTCGTTAAGTAAATATAATTTTAACGGAATCCAGTTTAATATTCTTAAACCATTTAACAAGTTCAAGGACCTCCATATTCATTTTCAATGTATTCGTAATCACTTAAAAGAATCCTTTTAACAATGCCTAAAAGAGTATAGGATCTGGCAAGAGTCAGAACCTTAAAATCAGTTCAAGAATATCATAATCACTACTTCCATTCTCCTAGTGATGGCACCTGCACTCCAAGTGCAACGGGAAAACCAATTAAAATATGGTATCTTCAATATCTTTCCTCTCAAATTGACTACATTAAACTAAACAGACAACCTCCACAATATCAGTCCTAAAAGATCTAGTGTTAACCAGTCATGCATGCACCCTTTGTTCATTACAAATTTCAGAAAGAATAAAATAGGCTTAAGTATAAAAAAAGCCCTAGAACTAAATTTCAATAATCATCCAAGCCTTATCATTTTATTATAATCAATTGAGCTCCCAAATATCTATTTTCGCCCAATTGAACCCTTATCGGACGAAAATTGTTTAACCGCCATCACCAATTTCGACCGATCGAGGGCTAAATCAGTAAATAGATGTTTAATGGCTAAATTGGATGAAAATAAATGTTTAAGAGCTCAATTTATTATAATAAAACAATAGGGGCTTGGATAATTATTTAATTTTAGTTCAAGTTTCTCTTCATATTTAAGCCAATATAATAAAATTACTTACATCATGCTCTGTAGCATCAGACTCATAACCCTCATCTGCAGAAACTGCTTGCAAAGGAGACTCGCACTTGTCAGGTAACTCAACCAACTCATTTGACTCATCTTGTTCATCCTCATTCAAACTTTTACCAGCTTTATCCTGTGGGTCCCCACTATTGTTGTCAATATCTGCTTCTGACTTAGGGTGGATTTTGGTAGAAATCTTAGAACTGCCTCCAACAGCTCTCTTGCCACTTTGAAAATGCAAATTAGAACTTTGGGTCCTCAGTGAACTAGTGCCAGCATCTACCTCCTTTATTGAAGGAAGTTCTGACAAGTCTAGCTTCTGGGAAGAGAAGACCTTTCCGGATCCTAAACTACAAACTGATGCTGAACTACGAGATGAATTCTTACCATCTAAATCCTTGTTACAATAACTAAAAGCTGCATTCGCATCACTGGCAGTACTAGCACATGAAATATTATCATCATGGCCTTCAACACCTAGGCAACCATCATACTTATTTGAGAAGGTTCTCTGAATCCCAAGATATTCCAACACAACAGATGCATCAGATGGCCTTATAGTTGCTTTGCTTTCTATATTTTCAGAGTAAGAATCATGACTAGAATTGACAGAGTGTAAATTGCTTGCTTCACTGGGGGTATGCTGTAAACTGTCACCAGTTTTATCCTCATTGATAGAATACTGACTTGCCACAGTAAAACGATCGGTTTCATCGGAAAACTCATCACTCTTCAATTCCATTTGACTAAGGTGTATACAAGATGAACAAGCAGAAAAACACGCGTTGCAGGTTCTAGTTCTGCCTTTTTATGAACCTTTTGACTCATATAATGCCTAATTAGTCTTTTTACAGTTTTTGCTTGTACCTAACATAAAAAGAAAAGCAAAATTAAGCAAAAAATAAACAGAAAGCCAAAGATTCATGCCCTTTAACAAACATGTACTTACGCCCTTTCCTCCAAAGAAAAAAATAATTAATCTTATGCAACAAAATTAATAGCAAATGAAAATAATTTTTGATGCAACCATCACAAAAGAAAAGATCGAGAGGCCCTTTTTTCTACTTTGGCAGATAAAGGAGGTGCATTAACAAGAAAAAAATAATGAGCTTGGTATCTGCAAATTATCTAGAAAGGTGAAATAAGGAATCAAATGAAGCACCTATCTAATCTTTATTGATTCTAAGAACTATCTAACATAGAGGGTTCCCTTAAGAAAAAGGATTAATTCAGGATAAATAATGGGCACATTGAGAATTTGAGATTTATACAAATAAATCTAGCAATATTCATAACATAAAAACAGCCCGTCTCAATAATATAAAATAAATAATAATTTCATTTTAAATTCAGTAGATACATAGACTGTTAATATGGATTTTTTGGATGTTTAGAAATCAGAGACAACCACTACTTACAACAACACAGAACCAGTATAAATCTAAACCTTCAACATGAAATACTTAAGCTATCATTTATAATTTGAAGCTTCTCTCTTTGGAAAAGATATGTAAGATTATGACCCTTAAAGAGGAGAACAAGCTAAGAGCAAATAAGTCTTCAGATATTTGACAGTCCAATCAATGAGACAGCTCAACAAGCAGTTCTGTGTGATTGCGTTGGTGAATTATTTCCACCTCATCTTTACTTTAGCCCTTGAACTGTTTTCTGTTTGACTTTCTGATATCTTGTTATCAAACTTACGCAATCAATTTATACGCAGCCCAGCTTTTGTATGTGCTTCATAAATTTCCTTTCCTTTTTATATGACTTTCCCTTTCATATCAGGTCCAAATAACAATGAAGTATAAATCAATAAATATAACCCCTACATAAAGCTCATCTTCTAAGTCAACTTGCATTTTCGATCACAGCATCTTCCAACCTAGCACCATAGTGTATAATTATTTGACTTTACTATAAAGACTTCTCTCATCTCCTGGCAAATTCAAGTCAACCTCATACTACATGTCCTTGCTGAGACATCCCAATGGTTTCTATTCAACAAAGTCATAGAAGTTATAGCACCCCCTCAAAAGTTCACCAGATATTCTTGAGCTTCAACACATACAATACCATTCACCCCACATAAAAATCAAGATGTTTAACCAGAAGCAACACTAAAATTGTATCCTCCTCCAAAATGAAGTAAAAAACTGGCAGTCTTAACCCTTTGAGTATTTGATTGCTACTATCAGCAACACTGTTGTCATTTGTTATATCCTTTACCAGAGAATGCTATGGAACACCCAATACCCTCTTTAATTGCCTCTTCCTATAGCAAACTGACTCTCATCCAGTTTCATGTAACAGTAATCTAACTTCAGCTTTCATGACATGTAATAAGCTCCTACATGTCAGTTAGATGTTAGCACTAATTAAGGCCCAGAAAGTCACCAATCCAATATCTGATTGATTTCAGCAACCAAGCAACAACACAACAACCCGATTGCACATAATTCAATCAACTTTAGCCATCATGCCCATGGTCAGGTCTTGACAGCCCAAAACTATGAGTTCCAAAAAGGCCGGAAAGGAAAGTCATGGCCGTATAAGAACTGCTTTCAAAACAAACAAAGTAAATTCTTTATAACGTGAATATGTTTTTAAAACAGGCTCAGAGGTTAACTTGTGTTCCTTCAACTTTATAGAAACCGGCCTGACTTCTAAAAGACCTTGCAAATAAATTAACATGGCAGGTTCAAAACAGTATAATGCTAGTTCCTAAGTTTTATCCTTGTTTTCAATTTTATGCTCTAAACAACCCCCTTATAAGCAAGCTTATGGGAATGATCCTAATATGCTGCTGGACAATCAATAATGAAAACTTCAACACTTTTAGCAGAAATACAGCACCATGGAATCTAATAATTATCAAGTTCATCCATACTCCACTGCATTTTTGAGCGACTTATATCAATATTTCAAAAAGGTCCATGACACTGGAAGTTATAACTTATAAGACTCTTTAGTACTTAAATTCACCCTAATACATGTCAACCACAAAAATTCTTAGCACTGCACACGAAGTGGTTACAAACTTACATACCTATAATACAGCAAGATAAAGACCAAAAGAGCATCCACAAAGCATAACTTACAAATTCATGACAGTCATAACTTTCATAACCATATCATCCGAGTCATGGAATTGAAAACTTCACTCTGCAGAATTTTTTTATAAAAAAAAAATCAACTCTACATTACAACTATTCTAAGAGTTGTTACTTAGAAGTAAACCACTACATTTCTAATAGAACACACTTTTCATCATTGAAACTCAATAGTGCAGAAAATTAGAATCATTTATTGGCTGTAACAAAGAATAAGAAATAAAAAGAAAAAAAAATAATGAAATGATGGGCTTTTTATTCCAAAACACTAGGCAGCTTTAGATAAATCATTCCAACCCCACAACAGGAGCCATATATGCTGAGTAGATGTTATCCAATTCTTAAGTCAGGAAATAGGTGCATGAATGGCAAGCACTTTTTTACTTGGTACCGAGAGAACTAAGAAAATGGAAAAGATGAAGGGTGTTCATTTGGTACCTCAGCCAACAAATTTAATCCAGTAAAATCAAAGAGATTGGGAGACAACAGACAAGAACTAAGAAGTAAGTACATCATTTTCTTGCACTCCACTTCTAAGTCATTCCCAGAAAGCACATGAGAGGAAAATTACAGAAATTTTCTATTCTATCATTCTTCATTCCCCACCCATCTTTTCATCATCCTAGTTTTCAACACTCTTCACCAAGAAAATTTCGAAAGTTAACTATAACTACTTACCATATATAACACAAAGAACTTAACACTTTCACTTGTTTGTGCCAACAAATAGATGTTCTTCTATCTTTCAACTTAAAATATTATGCTAACATAATTGACAAAGAAAAGCATTAGCAAGTTGAGAACACAGATTGCAGATTACCCTGTTCTCATGATATTCTTCTGAATATTGTGATCCATCTCATGCACTGGCCATTGCATGCAATAAATCCCTCTCAAAACAGTTGTGATCTAAAAAGCACATCAAACTGTATCAAATAAGGCATCAATAAACAAAATCCAGTAAGAATAGTCCATTGCACAAAAACTGCTCTAATTTACTAACATCTAAAACCACATAATAGCAAAAACTTGCATCTAACTCCATACAGCCCTAACATAGAGCCACATTATGTAGCGCAACTAAACACAACAAGCAAGGAAATAAATATATCCAATTTCTAATGAGGACCCTAAACCCTAATGACTAACATAGGCCATCCACACCACAATAGACTGATACAGCAAATTTCATGATAGATATTACCAATATTTCCACATCATCCACGGCTAATTTAAAGGAATCAAAAGTTCAACCCAAAAACACTATCAATTAAAATCCGAAAAACTCATTTTAATATTCAAATGTTTCTAATTGATAAAATTAAAAGAAACCCTAATAAAGAGATATTATATTACATGCCTCCGGTTCAAAGATTATCCCAGTCGCATTGAAAAGCCCCTCAACACGAGGCTCCTTCCGCCTCACCACAATAGCTGCTGCTTTCGCCGCCGCCATCGTGGACGCAAACGATCGCAACGCAAACTGAACATTAAACTGATTCCTCTCTTTCTCTGGATTTCCCCTCCTTCTCTCTCCCTCCTCTTAACCGCTGGGAAAGATTTTCGATTCCAAATTCAATCTCAATCTCAATCTCAATCCCCCAATTTCTACTTCCTCTGTTTTTTCTACAAAAAAAAATTCCGATATTCACAAGAGATACATGAAAAAAAAAATCAATACAAAACAACAAATTAAATTCTTTAAAACTTTCTCCGTAAATTTAACGTTTTCTCTCTAGGTTTTTCTCTTCTTTTTTTTTTTTCTCTGTTCATGATCTGAGATAAAAATATTAAAACGGTAATAATAGAATCAAAATCTCTCACCCATAAACAAAAATAAAAAATATTAAATATTAAATAAATAAATTTACCTCTTTTGCTTCACTCTTTTTTTTGCTCTCCTTTTCCTTCTGAGCTTTCTCTCACTCTTAAAATGTGGGAAAAACGGAAACTTCCCTTCCCTCTCTATCTCTATATCTCTATATTTTCTCTCTCCAGAGTAGATGAGTCTCCGTCTCCCTTTTCAATTTTTCTTTTTTTTCCTCTCTATACATTTTTTTTCTTGAGAAAAATGAGTTTTTTTTTATATTATTTGTAAATTTCGTGATAAAAAAGAAAATCTTCCAGTGCCTTTTTTTTCCGTTTTTTTTAAGCTGCGGAGAATATAAGCCAGTTGGAAGGGAGGGTGGTCGTCTCGTCGCACGAGTGAAGATGGAAGGTGTGACTCTGGCAAGTGCGAATGGCGATGTTTACACGTGGGACTGAGAAGCGGGTTTCTGTGATCTTGCGCCGACAGTGTCGTGCCTTTCACATTTTGTAATCAGGGTTTAACTCTTTTCAAGTTAATGGTAAGAATGTTACCTATATTCTAGTAAATTAAATATGATATTTTAATTAAGAAAAATTTTAATATGATATATAAATTATAAATTTATTAATTAGGTGATATTTAATATGAAGTAATTATTACAAAAATCATTATGATTTATTTATTATTGTTAGATCATTATATTTAATAAATATTTTAGATCTTAAGTAACATAAAAAAATATAAAAATTTTATCATCGTAATAAAATAATATATAAAATTAATAATAGTAAATTTTATTTAATTAATATATAATTAAGAATTTATTTTATCTTAAAATTATATTATTTTATTTTATAAAATTTTATATGTTTAAATTAATGTTCATTGTAATAAGTTTAAAAATAATTTGTATATAGTTTTTATTTTTTATTTTTTATATTTTATATTTTATATGATATGTTTTTTTTCTTTTATAATGAATTAATAGATTAATTTTATTTTTAATTCAAATTTTTTTACATAATTTATATTATAAAAAATAATTTATCTATACTAAACATATTTTTATTTAATATTTTAATTATATTTTATTATAAAATAATTAAATATGACTAATATTTTACAAATATTTTCTTTAAACAATGTTAAAATTATCAATGTTTGTAATTATTAAAATATGCATAATTATGTTTATACTTTATATAAAATAATATTTGATTTTTTAATAATACTAAACTCAATTATTTTTAATTCTTAAAAATTAATAACTGTTAATAAAAAAGAATTTCAAATCACAAATTTTAATATCTCTTTAGGAATAAAATAATCTCTGTGATTATATTACTATAACGATCTTTTAAAAAATGTCAAATATTACTTTAATATAATATTTATTACTAATGTGATTAACTTTAAATGATAATAACAAACAAATTAAGAATGTAATTGAATTGAATTAATACAGTGAGGAGTTTAAACTCAAATTTGACTCAAAATTCATTGTTTAAAACTTAATTCAAACTCGATTAAGTTTTAATTTTAAACTTTCAACTAAATTTGAGATAAAAATCGAATTATTTAAAGTTGTTCGATGAAGTTCATTTAATAAAAATAAGTTCGATTTCCATGCTCAATTTTAAGTTTAATTATTTGTTTAAACTCGAGTTTAAATTGATATATGTAAGAGTAAAATAGTAAATTTTAATTAAAATAACAAAAAATATATTAAATTTTAAAAGATTGATTAAGCTTGTCAGCTATTCATGTAAGATATTAGGATGTTTGAATTCAGTTTACTTAATAAGTCGAGCTGTTTAAACTTGCCTCGATAATGACAAAATAGAATTCGAATTTTATTCGAGTTGAACTCAAATAACTTGCAAATATTATTTTATTATTTACACTCTTAAAACAAACACAACATTTCAAATATCATATTAATTAATAAAATTTATAATTTATATATAACATAAAAAATTTTTAAAAATTAAATATCATTTTAAATATTTATTTATAACTCAAAAAGCATTTGTATCATAAAACCGTTTAATTTTTTTTTTCTTATTAAGATTGAAACAGGATTTATTAATCCCTCCAATTTCATTTTTTTTCCTTATTAAAATTGAAAACAGTATTTTTTGGGATTATGGGAAAGTTAACAATATTCTATATTTCCTTTTACTTCTTCCAATTTTAACTTTGTCTAAATTTTTTTAAATAACAATAAATAAAAACGATTAATATTATAAATTATTTTTAAATTATAGTAAAACATTTAATATAATATTTAAATTTTAAAAATCTTTAATATAATATATAACTTATAATTTTATTAATTAATGTAATATTTAGAGTGTTGTTTATTTCTTATATTTTTCAGTTAAAACTACAACTTTTCCAATGAGATACTTTTTTACAACAATTTTTATTAAAAATAAGAAATAAAACACTATATCAAAATTTAATGTTTTTCATGCATAAATCTAATTAATGAAAATTTCCTTTGATTTTTGGTTTCCAATGAATTTAATTTTATAATTTTACATTGCCACTTATCGGATAGGTAAAATATAAAATAATTTAAAATAAAAATAGGATTGTAAAATAGTAACCGAAAAACATAAAATAAATGAGAAAGTCATAAAAGAGTAAATTGAATATTTTTTGGATCGTCAATAATAGTAAACTAATAATTTGTTGCAAAAGATGAAGGAACAAATAAATCAAACTTTGTACTTGAAAATTAACATATTTCTAATACATTTAGAACTTAGAGACACCAATTAGTTTAATTAAAGTTAATTGATGAAACTTGTAAAATCAGCTATTAATGTGAATTTCAATTTTGTTTTGAAAATTTGAGAAAATATTAAATAAATCAATTAGCATAGTTATCGTTACATATAATAATATTTATGAAATAAATATATTTATAATTTAAAAAACAAATTAAAATATACGAATGAAAAATGTTTGCAAATCCTAAGGATTTTAAAATTGGTTTTTCAAATTTTAATTTTTAATATCCATTAATTACGTATTATGATGGGTATTAAATCCAAAATTTGACTTTTTCGTTTTGTTGGAGAGCAAAAATTTTCTATTTTTGCAATTATATATGTAGTAATTGTCATTTACTACTCATATAGTAAGCACTCAAAATTTAAGGTAATAGAATTATGGATACTTTTGCCAAATTTAAAACAAAAGTTAAAGCTCTTGAATGGTCAAAATATTTTTGGATAAAAATAGAAAAAAAATCATGATTGAAATGTTTTTAAAGAACTAAAGCTAAATCCATTAATAATAATTTTTGATAAATCACAAAAAAATTACAATAATAATAATAATAATAATAATAATAATAATAATAACAAATTAAGTTTTATATGTTTGGAATTGATTTTACAAAAAACAAAAAGAATTCATGTTTGATTGTAATTTTGAGCGTTAATCATTTCTATAAAAATAATTTTTTCATTTATTTCTTTAACCTTTATATAATATTTTATTATTTATATCCACACTTTTCTTTATTTACTTATACAAGTTTTGATTTTTTCCAAATTTATAAATTTATTTTTTCTAATTGATGTAAAAAAAATAAAAATTAAATTAATACGTAATTTTAATTTTAAAAATTGAATTATTTAATAAGATAAACATATGATGGCATCCTTGGAGACTATTTATGTATAAAAAATATTTTTTTAGTCTGAAAATGCAAAAAGATAAAAATATAATTTATATTTGAATTTTTTAAAATTTAAAAGTAAATTATTAAAGTTAATATAATAAGTATACATTAAATGTAATAAGAAACAAGCGGTCAAACCAAATCCTATACGTAACAATTAATGTTAGAAACTGAATTTTTTTTACCATAAAAGTAGTTAAAGAGTTGAATATTTATAATTGAATAATGGTACACAAAATTATTATGTGTTAATGATGATAAATAAAGTTTTATTATTTTTTGTTAATTTAATTGATGATATTTGAGAATGATTTAAGATAATTTAAAAATTTTAATTAATTTAATTTAAAAAATTATATAAAATAAATTGTATTTATTAAAAAATATGTGGCCATAATTTAAAATTATTTATATATCAATAATATAAGCTATTAATAATAATGGATTATTTTTTTGCCAAAAAATTTGGTTTATATATTTATATTAAATTAGATAAATAAAAATATAATAAAATTTATTTATATTCCATAGTTTAGACATTAATATTGATTCGGAAAAGTTAAAATAAAGAGGAAAAGAAAAGAAGGAAGGAAACGGTGGGAAGGAAAGAAGAAAACTAGAAAAGCAAGCAGCACATGCACGATGAACACTAACAGTTAAGTAAGCGCTTGAGTGAAAGAGGAAGAGAAAAAGAAGTTGACTAGTCAACCCAAGAAACAACAAAAAAAAAAATAGTGGAGTTTGAAGAAGAATAACTGGATAAGGGAAGAAGTAGAAGAACAAAATTTTACGGACTGCAATTAAAAAAGAGAAAAATATTGGGGTGAAACGTGAAAATGAGAAAAAACAAAACCAAATAAATTATTATTTAAAAGGAAAAGGAAAAAGGAAAAGCCATAAGCGTTAGAAAACTGTTATAAAATCTCTGTTTCCATCGTCTAAAAAAACGGAAAATATTATTAAAATTGGGAACTTTCTCTCTCTCTTTCTGTCTTGGTTTTTAGAGAGACAGAAAGTGAAGATGATAAAAATCTTGTTCACATATTAATAAAATATATATAATAATTGTAATAATTTGTATATTTATATATATGGATGAGAATGAGATTCCTATAATGCAAAAACCTATAGCTTAGAAAAAAGGGAGTGAGAGATAGGAAGAGAAAGGGAGAGATTGGGAAATGTGGGATAATCGAAGCTCTAGAGTAATGTGAATTAGGGTTTTGGAAATTTTTGTCAGAGATCGGGTGTCGCCGAAATTTCCGGGAGCGAAAAATCGGGTCGGATTTTGATTCACTCAACAAGGTGACGGCTGATTACTTCTTCTTCTGGTTCTTTTCCTTTTCTTTTTTTTTTTAATCTTAATTTGTTGCATGTTAAGATCTGCAGAGATTTAAGCTTCAATTGTTGAATTAATTTCATTTCTTGAAAATTTTGTTTCCTTTTCTTTTTAGTTGAAATTTCCAGGGCTCTGTTTTTGTTTTCACTTTTTCAAGAATTAAGTAAAAAAGTATAGTAAATATAAGAACTTATCAGTTTATCGAAATTAAAATTGCATGTTAGGATTATTCGATAAATTAAGTTTATAATTAATAAGAGTGTCAAAGACAAGAGCAAGTGAAAAGTTTTACTAGGAACCAACCATTCTTTTCACCCCAGTTAGAACTTAAGACTTCGTCTTGAAGTTCGCGGATTCGTATTCTAGGATGGGAGGAGCGGGATTATGGAATGAAAGAGGACTACCTCCCATTGTTTGGATTATGGGATAAGAGGACTATCTCCCATAGGTAAATATTTTGTGGTTAGGTTCATTTTGTTCTTGATTAGAAAGTCATAAAGTGAAAAATATTAGATCCAAGGCTATTCTAATAGACCTCACTTTATATTTGATGAGGAGCAGTTGCTTTTTAATCCATAATTTTATTGGCACCAATATGAAACTGTTTATATTTAGAGGAATTTTATGACTTTACATAAGTTTTACTTGATAAGAGAACTTGAAATTTTCTTAACATTGACTTGGAAGAAGAATGCTTTATTTTAAAAACAACTACAGCAGGAGATGGTGTTGAGATGAATAGAAGATCAAGATATAAAAAAGTCAGTTGTGTTGTTTTAAAATGTTATTTTACTTGATTTGATTTCAAACTTTGATAATGATTTCTTCATAATTATATCTGCAGAAAACAAATTTTTTAATCAATTAGAAACCATGGATAAGCTCTACAGCCTTTTCCTTCATCCAAACCCTTCAAACTGTTACTTTGAAATGTGCCAGAGAAACAATTAAATCTGCTGAGTGCTGTCATTTTTTTACCTTTATAATTTACAATTTTTATATTTTCCTTAATCATGGAAAGTTGTGTTGATGATTAATTTCTATTTGGATGGTTATCGGTGGGTTCTAGTCATACAATATGTAGGGTAATTTGGTCTGAGAGGCAATTCCGTGTAAGTTTGGCTAGAATGCTGCTGAACATCCTTTTTGGGAATCAACTTATCTTCCACACTGATTAAAGTGCCTAATAAAACCAAAAGATTATTTTCTATTGGAGTATGAGTTTTCCTCAAAATTTTGTTCATTGGATGAGTTCATCCTGGGTTTGAAGCACTGATTAAGTCTGGAAGCCAGAAATGATTAGTAACCAGTATGTCTAGATGGAAAGATGATACTTGTTTTGGATTATGAAGGAGTTCTTTCGAAGTTGTTATTCATATGTTCCTGCTGCCCCTTTTGAATAAAAAAGGGGATGTTAATGATAAAAAGATACTGAAGCTTTATTTGAGTCTTTATTACGCAATATTACGAGGATTGTGAAAGCTGCTTCTCTGCAGATTTTATTGTAACTTATTTTTGTTTTTGTTTACCCCGGGTCACATTCGTATCAATGAGGGTCTGAGCTCAGGCTTGATCCTTGTATGAGTTTAGTATTGTTAATTTGACCATAGGAAGATGATACTTGAAGTCATGCATTGTTAATTTACTGAACCATTATGTGCTTTTGGGAAAATAATCTTTTTTGCTTTAATTACTATTGACCAGCAAAATTAGAAGCACATTGGCTGTATCAAGCAGTTTCCCTTGTAGCTGCCAGTGCTTCTCCCTTCTAAGAAGAGAAGACCTTGGTTTCAAGTCAAACATGGATAGAATAGAGTAAAGGCTATCCTTTGGTAGGCTAAAAAGATGGATAATAAAGGGAAAACTTGATAAAGTATACTTGTAGTTGATTATATTTTGTGCATTTGCTTTTTGGTATTGTCACATTTTTTAATCCTTTTTTTTTCTTTCTCAGGGAAAAGTTTTATGTTCTGCACATTCTCTCAAATGGTGTTCAGAGATTCACTTAAGAAGCCAAAGATGAAAGTAGAAGGGGCAGAACATGAATCACAAGTAATGGCTTGTTTGCAAGGTCACGTTTCATTGCAGCCTACAGTGTCTTTTAATCATAATTTGAGAATTTTGCAAGATGATTGGCATATATTTACACATATTCTCTTGGCTAGTAAAACTAATATGAAAGGTGTTGGGCAAGGTTTGCTGGACAAGGAAGTGCGAGCTTTAACTTTTGGTTATATAGGACAAAATGGAAAGGAACCTATAATTGTGGCAAGATCTGGGGAAAATCATGATCGACAATCATCGGATAACAGTCTCCTACCAGGTCTTAATGATGACATAGCAGTGGACATTGTGGCCCGGAGCAGCAGATCTGACTACCCAAATCTGGCTCATTTAAATAGAAAATTTAGGTCACTCATTGGCAGTGGATATTTATATAAACTGAGACGTCAGCTTGTCATAATTGAACACTGGGTTTATTTAGCCTGTAATATGATGCCTTGGGAAGCTTTTGATCCTGTGAGACAGAAGTGGATGAGACTGCCTAGGATTCCATGTGATGATTGTTTTACTTCTGCTGATAAAGAGTCTCTGGCAGTGGGGACTGAATTACTTGTTTTTGGTCGTGAGTTATCAGGATTTGCTATTTGGATGTATAGTTTGATTACCCACGATTGGTCTAGATGCCCCCTAATGAATTTGCCTAGGTGTTTGTTTGGTTCTAGTAGCCTTGGGGAGATTGCCATTGTAGCTGGGGGAAGTGATAAGAATGGCAATGTTCTAAAATCTGCTGAGCTCTACAATTCTGAACTGGGTACTTGGCAAACATTGCCAGATATGAACTTTCCACGTAAACTGTGTTCTGGTTTCTTTATGGATGGAAAATTTTATGTCATTGGGGGCATGTCGAGTCATACAGATTGTTTGACTTGTGGTGAAGAGTACAATATTGAGACAAGGTCATGGAGGAGGATAGAAAATATGTACCCTGGTTGCAATGCAGGTACATTTCATCCTGCTATGTGCTCTCCTCCTTTAGTTGCTGTTGTAAATAATCAACTTTACTCTGCTGACCAAGCAACTAATGAAGTGAAGAAATATGACAAGGTTAATAACTCATGGAGTGTTGTGAAGAGGCTACCTGTTAGGGCTGACTCTTCAAATGGTTGGGGACTGGCATTTAAAGCATGTGGTAACAGTTTACTAGTAATAGGAGCTGGAGGACATGGAGGACGTGCTGATGGAGTAATTGTTCTGCGTTCTTGGGATCCAGAGGAGGGAAACTCGGATGGACCAGAGTGGAATGTGCTTGCTGTCAAGGAGCGAGCAGGTGCTTTCGTGTACAATTGTGCAGTAATGGGTTGTTAATGATTTGCCACACATATTTGGTGCAAGCATCTGACTTGTGGAAGACCAGCAAGCCTTTATCAAACCTATGATTTTTATTTTCTCAGTATCATTAATTTGTTATTTTTCTTCTTTTTCTCATTTATGGTTCTTCAGAAGAATAATTGACCTGAAATCAATTTCCGAAAGTTGGCGACTGATTGTGTAGATCCCATTACTGGAAGTGGAAGATTTAACGTCATACCGAGTAATGAGTGTACTTTGGCATTGAATTCATTTCTTTGAATCAGACAGTGTAATTCTTGGTTCTGGATTCAAATAACCTGAAGGTAGGTACTATTTTAATGCATTGCTTTTTATGTTCATTGAATTGCATTGAAGTATGTGGATGTCATAGTTTTTTATTAAATTGTGTATAATTCTGAGAGTTGTTTTTGAGTTGAAGACAGGTAGGATGTTTCAATGTGAAGCAGGAATAAGTTTGAATGGAAGGAGGCTATCATATGGGTTAGATAGGCAGATGAGGGTTGTTACTTGTGTTTTGAGAGTCATTGGAGCCGAGGGCAGCTCATTGTGCTAAGTAATTATTAAGAGAGTGGTAGGGACGTTGGCTGTGTTATTGGTGTATAGGGCTGGATGGCACATGGTAGGCTATGGATAGTATACTAATGGGTTTAGCTAGAGCTATAGCCTAAAGGTAAGGATAAAATTTATTTGAATTATTATTTAATATGTAAAAAATGTGGATGGCCCAGCTCTGAAATTTGATCGGAATTCAATGCAACCCCAAGGTTTTCTTTTGATAGAGTTTTGATAGAAATGGAAGAAAAAAATTTGTACAAAGAGTTTGCAGAAAGATTTAAGTGTTAAAATTTGAATTTTATATTTATTATATGTTATTTTTTAAGTATAATTATATAAATTAATTGGATTATATTTTAAATTAAAAAAATTAATCTAATAGCGAGTTAAATTCATAATCAATTTTAATTGTAATTTCATATAATTTTAAGATTTTATTTGATAGATAGAAAAAAATGGATTTTTTTTTTAATTTAGTATTGAGTGAAATTCATAATCGATTTCGATAATAAATTTTAAGGTTTTGTTTTTGGTCTGATTAAAAAAAAGATAATTTTTTTTTAATTTAATAGTGAATAAAAAAATCATCTTTTGGTTTGCTATGAACTCTGTTTTTAGACCCTTCAGCAGAGTCGTTGTGAATTGTCGGACCATTTGAGAAGGGTATTTTGTAGAGCAAGCATTGTCGCTTTCCTTATGCCATATTTGTTGAAGGACGATGGTGATGCCTAAAGAGAACGATATGCCTCGCTTTGTGATTCCACGTTACCAAAGAGATCCATACTATTTCTTTCATTTTCTTTTTCATGAAAGAAGAGTTATTAAAGCACCACTTGAAGAAATTAATGTTGAAAAAGGATATGAGAGAATAGAGATTTTTTTTTAAATAAAAAATCAAATCAGATCTTTAAATGCAGAATAAAATTAAAAACTTTAAAATCTATGTAAACCACTCCTTATTCATGCAATAAATAAATCTAAGCTATGGGATTAAACATTTGACTTAAAATTTCAACAAGTAAGATCTATATGGTTTGGTTCGGTTGGGTGAGGCTATGATAGCTCACTTATTGTTATTGTTTTAATTTTAAATTTTAAATTTAGAATTTAATTTAATTGATTAATATAATTATTTTTAACAAATTTTTAATTTAAATTTAACACTTATTTCTTTATTTTTTGCAGTAACATGATATTCATTATTGCCTACTCCAGAAGCCTCTGCAGCCCTTCCTTTCCCTAAGAATTTTAGGGGGAGACAAATTGTGTGACGTCTTCTTCAATATTTCTGTGGGAAAATGGAAAAAGGGCCAAAGGGGCGAAGTGTTAAAAAAAAAAAAAAAAAACAAGTGTGTCCAATTGACTCGATCCAATGTAAAAGTAGGACTAGTGATGATCTATATCTAAATCTAAACAATAGCGGCCTCAATTCACAAGTGACAACCTTCATCCCCTCCTTTCTTTTTTTTTTTTTTTTTTTTGTTCTAATGCTTACAATTTTTTCTCTTCGTAAGAAAGAAAATAATATAAAATCACTTTAAATATAAATAAAATAATTCAAAAATTAAAAATTTAAACAGAACCGAAATAAAATATTAAAATATCACGGATGAAAATTTTCCTCAAGCTTTTGATATGATGTTTAAAAAAAAAAAAATTCAAGAAATAAAAGAAGCAATACTTTATGATTCCAAATAATGACTGTAAATAACGGGGGAAGCATATAATAATTTGATAAAAATGAAATACATCACCAAAACTTGCAATAATGCAATGAATGAAAGTCAACCAGAAGTTAAAAGCGAGTAAAACAAAACACACAATGGACAAGTGGAAAAACAAAGGGCCACTTTAGGATGTGTCACGCTCACATCTAGCATTGCAATTATACACCGTTGAATTTGCATTGCAAATTGCCCGTCAGATTTGCTAAAACAGTGATCATATTTATTGAAATAATTGCTATCCCTTTGAACAGTCGCTAAAAAAGCATAGGAAAGTTATCAAAACGAACGGGGGAAAAAGAGTTCGGACTCCTTACACAGGGCAATTTGCTTTGGATAGGCCGAAAAATCAGACTCTAAAATTAAAAATCTTGAATGCCATTTTACCTTCCAGAACTAATTTTAGCTGTTACACCTAAAACATGCAGAGCATGCAAAACTCACAAAAATCTCTGTACTTGGTCAGATGGGACAGTACCATCTCTCCCCTGGGAAAATGCTATAAGTTCCAAACCTCCATTTCAATGGGGGAATTTTTGCCATATTTCAACCTTTCACATGCAAGAAATTAGCATTGCCAACTATGGATGGCAGACCAAATGGCCGATCACCATGCACCTACAGCTGCCAACATCAAGGCCGTTGACAGCCCTATAGCACCTGCTCATTGCTACTTGCATCATTCAAATACAATGTGAAGCAGAGGTTGTAATGAAAATAATGACATTTAAGTTCGTATACATTTCGAGAGAATTGGAATTTAATTGATCAATTAACAAATATATTATCAATTGAAGTACACAAATAACTATCTTCCTTACATCATGAACTATGCACAAGAATATTGTAAAAAAAATTTTACCCGCGTGTTCTTCATCCTGAATATAGATCACTACAGACCCTCTTTGGAGTGTGAATCCATTGATTGGTGATGTAGATAAATCCAGTCTTAAGGGGTTTAAAAAGTTTTTTTACACAAGTAATTTGCAACCTGCAAATTAGTGGCAATGTTTCATCTTCTTGGAAGGAAATGAAAAAAAAAAAGAAAAAGATAGAAACAAGGCATGCAAGAAGCTCTAAAACCATCCAACTAACAGCAAATGTGACATTGTTGGTAAGTAAGCAAACAATGGTTGGCAAACTGTTACCATCTCATCACAATTTCTTCAACTAGTTTAAACAGTTAACTAGATGAATAAATTTACTTGTTGATGGGATTTGAATTATACATTACACATTTTTTGATGGGCTATAAATAGAGGCTTCTATTACAAAATAAAGCTTTTATTAGTATTATTTATATTAATGAATGTAAATTGTGACATTATATTCGAACATATAGATATAATCAGTATATACCTCAAATTTTCACTTGCATAAAAAAACGTGAATGGTAAGCCAAGACACACCGGTACTGGAGCAAACCATTTTTTAAAAGAAAATCTTAAAACTGACCAGCATGTATCAACAACCTTGATTGTCATAGCTGCTGCTTGCTGCAGCTGTAATTTTTAAGGAATTTCATTGCTATTAGATAACCAAAATGTTAACTTAAGGGTAGATATCCTAAATAGGATTGGAAATTTGTGGTGTTTTCAGGAACTTTTTGGGAAGAGTAATTTTGTTTCAGGAATCCTGGCTGTGCAACTGATATTGTTGTCCTTATTTACTGGTCTACATCTTAGGTGAGTTCAAGTCAGCTGCTTCGAGAGGGAAAAGAAACAATTCTATGTAATGACTTTCGAAGCCAATCTAATGATCACGCAACAATAATGTTTTAACATACATGATTCATTAGACCTTAGAGACAGCTGCCCTTCAAGATGAACAAGACAGTTGTTTGTGAGACACCAGTTAAGCAATAAAAAGGAAAGAGGCAACAATTACTCAGCTTTTTAATAATGAGCAATAGTGAAAGGCTTAATTCCATGCATATGAATATCAATTCAATTTAAAAAAAGAACAAGGAAAATATGAATCACATAGAAAAGGAATGAAGAGGCACTGCATGGTATAAGTAGTGTTGGAGTTCATACAAATCCATACCTGCTTTTAGGCTCGAAACTGAATTGAAATTGTATAATAACGCTTTGTTGCAGCAAATCTAAACAAGGAAAACAGTCCAACAAGATACATTCAGTATGAAACAAGCAGGCAAGAAGTAGCATTTCTCTTTTCCTCACAAAAATTTGTTGCTTTGGCACAAATAAATTCTATATTGTTGCACTCAATTAAAGGGATTAAAAATAACAACGATGGAAATGAAGTGATTTCTTGATGTTTTACTTACATGAGAATACATCAATCAATAGGGTGTTTGTCAGCCTGGCGAGATGTATAATGTGCAGAAAGCAAAAGCAGAGAAAGGAAAGCACTGGCTACGAAAATTGCATCAAACCATCGGTGATAGAAGTCAAACTGAATATCTCCACCCAAAACATCTGTTATAATCAACCTGCCAAGGGATACACAAAACTAATATGGCTCCAGGTTTTAAATGCAAATAACTGTAAGCTGTAGGGTATAGGAATTAAACAATTAAAATAGGAATTACAATAAGAGCCCAGTCCAATTTAAGTCACAATAGTTCAAGCAAATGTGTTCACTGTAATGCAGAATCCTAAACTGAGAAATTCAACCATGATAATATGGTAATTACAGTCATGAGAAACGTGCTAAAGACAACTACATAGAGTACAAGCCCAGAAAAACAAAAGATAAAAGCATATTCAGTACAAGGTCCAATCAATCATAAAACTAATTTGATGTGATTTATTACCCATCCAGATGATACTGAAGCATATAAAAGTAGCTTCCTATTTCCTAAATGCACAAATGAAAAAGATTTGCTCTGCAGTGCTTAAAGGTACCAAACCTTTACATAGTTAAAAGAACAGTTCATAATGCCAAATCAGGTACCAATTGGAAAACCTATCTTAAAGATCAAGAAGGAATGGCCTCATTCACTAACATATGCAGTCCTACAAAGTTAATGTAACACTCAAAGGCAATGGTTAAGTTTCTTTTAGGTAACATTAAACTTAATAAAATAGCTATTTATGACCATCCTAAATGATGAAACTAACCAAGCTCTTGAGTCTATGTCCATCCTGATTTCCTATTTAAGAACATTTGAGAGAACTGCAGAGATTCTGGCTGCATAGTAGCTGATAGGCCCCAATGCACCTTCTCATTGCACACCTAAAGGCAAGTTTACCAAAGTTATGTCAGCTTGACTTCCAAAATAATTAACTAAGAATGATGTGGTAAATATACCACATCACCTACCTGGCATGGAACATCTATATGTACCCAGATGACTGCGCTGTTTTAATTAAGTGACCTATTCATCCATTTCTCGTCTGCCTTTTTGAGTCATCTCTAATTATCCATTTCTATGTGTAACACAGCAAGACTAACTTCATTTTCACCCATTCTTTCACTTCTATTTGATCTTGAGTTCTTTGCCACACTTGACAAATAACATCAATGTTAAATCAGAAAGGTGGTTGCTTGAATTGAGTGACTGCATCCATCCCCTTGTCCTTGGCCTTTTGAGTCATCTCTAGTTATCCATTATGTGTGACACAACAAGACTAACTTCTGCACTGCACTTCATTTTCATCCATTTCTCATTTCTTCTCTTTGTTGCATTCTAATTTATTGGTGATCTAATAATATAATGAATTCAAATTGCCCAAGACCAGAGTTTGCGAATCAAAGACTAGACTTTTTCCTCAACAGTCTCCCAAAGGATGCCCCAATTGCCAGAAAGGCTCCTCAGATATGCTAAAAAAGCATAGTTATACCTGCTTCGCTATGCAGCCCTTAGTTTCACTGTTAGCCTTTAAAACTTGGATCTTACATGCAAATCAAGTATATATCTAAATTAAACAGGCATTTCATATGGTTTCTTACAGTTACTTCTATCTATCGATAATAAGCTCACATCTATAACGAAAGATTTGATTCAAGAGCAAATTTAGAGGTGGCTTCTATAAATTTGATGAGAAAGTTAACAAAATTCTGGGGATTCCAGAAACAATCCTTGCACGTCAATGGTTACAGAACATTCTACATTCTCGACACTATGTATTAACAATTTTGTCCCTCTAGAAAGGGATCTACAATAAACATCCAGAACAACATTACAAACTGAAGGGAATATTTTTTCCTTAATAACCAACAGAAAAGCTACATAAGTTGACATCAATCACGGCCATACCTGTATTCAGTCCTCAAACTTTTTCTTATTAAAAGAATTGAAGAGAGGAAGTACATTCCCATAATTTCTGAAAGGAAAAGGACAACATTGCTTGAAGATCCACTACCAACTCTGGAAACTGCAAAGAAGAACTGCATGCAACCAAACATTGCAAGTTAAGCTACAGAATACTAGATAATAGGAAACACATACTGCTTCTAAAACAAAGATGATTTCAATATAACAGCAAAGAAGAAAGGCAACACATGGTTGACATATGCCATAAGCTTGTGCTGGTCATGCCAATAATGATGAAATTAATATATAAAAAGAAAAAACAATATTCCCCAATGGAAGAGGTGAATTGATACTAGTAACAAAAATAGCAATGAATAGCAAAGAGTCAATGATGATTGATGACAATCAAAAGATGGTAAATTGGCAACATAGAATCAGCAAAGATGACCTGAACAAATCCATGCTTGATTGTTTATATTCAGAAAGGTTTAATGTCAATTAGAATTCAATGACTAAACATTTGCTAAACCAACAGTGGACTGGAAATTCCAAGAGACTTAGATTTTCAGATAAAATCAAGTAGACATAGCATATGGTAGTTAAAACTACTCAACTATAAGAAACATAAAACTAAAATGACCACCCCCCAGCCCCACAAAAAAAGGATAAGATTACCTTCATTAGATTTGTTAAGAAACCCCGCACTGATATGACAATCAAGATTCCTATAAACAACAGGGAAATATACTGCAAATAACAAATATAAAAAAAGTAAGAAGCCAATTAACCCCAGCAAAGAGACTGTACGTAGCAATTGCATCATAGCTAGTGAAAGTGTTATTAATAGAGTGAAAACTAAAGGCAACAAGATGGTTAACTTTTCCCAATCACAAAGTGCTAGAATCATTAGGTGCTTTCCGTACAAATGAACAAAATACATAAATAAAGGTCAAGCACAGATCATATAAAACAAACTACACAAGTCACTAAATAATAATACTGAAGCAATACCAACTTAGGAATCGCATTATGCAAGTCAAGAAACAATCATACAGAATCAACACCATCTCAGGTTCTAATTTATTGACCTTTGATGGAAATATTATGCATCTAATATGAGCCTTGCCAGCAATTCCGTCCATAGTTTGCTGCCATCTAAGTTTGAAATCACTCAAAACTAATAGTAATTCTCTTCAAATATATGTTAGAACTACAGAAAGGGATTTTAAAACCTTTAAACGCAGTAAGAAGACTAGAAGACTCTACAAGAATACTTTTAGCATATTCACAGCATGATGTCACTAAGCTTAATCTAAAACTATGACCCATTAGTACAACTTCATCCTCTAAGGTTCCAGCGCTTGGAATCCATTATGTTAAGAGATAATCAATCAACTCTAATACAGGCAAGACTAAAATCACATGTAATCCTTGAGAATACTGGAAAAACCATCCTTTTATCTTCTCTAAAGGAAAGTAAAATTTTAACTACTAATATCCTTGCCTTTTGAATAAAATGACAAAATCTATAAAGGTCAAATCCATAGAACCTCATGACTAAAGGCACCACTGTCAAGCCAACAAGTTGGCATGTCATATTTCCACCCAGAATCATTTTCCATAAAAACCCCCAAATATCTTGAGTTTTCCCTTCCAGCTCAAGCAATAAATTAGTGAAGCATCAAATTGACAAACTTGGAGGGTTAGAATAATGTAGCATACCAGTCCAAATTCTAATGGTTTAAGGCAGGAAAAAAAAAAAAAGGAGGGCACCATCATAATCAGATATTTGAATGTACTACAGCGGTGTAGAAACTGAAATGATAATAAATATGCTGCGGCTAATCTTAAGAGAAAAAGATACAATGACACAAAATATTAGAATTAGCTAGGGAGTGAGTGCTCTCCTCCCTACCCCCAAACTACATACAGGGTTTTCAAATATTAAAATAAAAAATTCAAAATTTATTTATGCTCCTTAACATCATAGCAAAAGAATGTTAGCTAACTCAATCTTTCCAAATAATATTTGAAAATGAATCAAAAGACAGTGGTTCGCCAGCTCATATGATAAACCAGAAACTCACTACAAACCTTAAATTGGTATACAAAATGGGTCAGTGGCTTAATCAGATAAATCCATCACCAAGTAAATATCATATATATATTTAATATTGGTCATGCAGTTGAATGAAACAAATTTAGCATCCCATCTATATTTCAGAAACAAATCCAACTGAAATTATAAGTAATTAAAATTTTCAATTAATTTTCAGAACAAACAAGAATTAAATAAAAACTGTAGACTTCAACTTGGAGGTCTCAACTCTCAAGTTTAAACACTGGAACAGGAATTGTGGGTTATAAGGGATCCCATTGTGTAGACCAAGGCCCAATGTGTTTCCACATGCACCAAAAGAAAAAATGGATTAAGAATCTAAATAACCCGTAAACTATTGAATTTTTTCTAATGTGATACCTAAATTAAAAAAATTTCTAAATCGATACCTAAATTTCATTTCTGCCTATTAACTTACCCAACTCTAACACCGGTGGAATAAATGATGATGTGGTAATCAATGCTGATGGTGATGACAAGTGGCTGCCAAGTGGCAATGATGAGGTTGCCACTTGTCATATTTTAAGAACAAAAGATTAAAAAATTTTTTTAAGTAAAATAATTTTCAAAAATAAATTTTCAGTTTTTCAAAAATAATTTCTTAAAAAAAAAAGAAAAATAAAAAATATTTCAATTATTTATTATTTTTTAAATTATTTTATTTTGAAAAAATGTTATGGTTTTGTATTTTTAAAAATATTTTTATTTGTTAAAAAAATTGTGATAAAGTACAAATTTATTTTTTTTAACAACAAAATCTAATTTTTTATAAAAAAAAATGGGAATAAAATTTTCAGAATTTCTCAAAAATTGATTGTTTCGTTTTTTTTTTTTTTTTCAAAAATATCACACATGACGGCCACGTTACAATCACATGGTAACCATGTGTCATCCACATCAGCGCTTACTTTAATGGTGATAGGGGTTGAGGTAGCTTAATAGATGGAAATGAAGTTTAGGTACCAAGTTATAAATTTTTCTAATTTAGATATCACATTAGAAAAAATACAATAATTCTGGGGCTATTTAGGATATTATCCATAAAAAAAAAAAAAACTTAAAATCTGGCCTCCCCTATAACTAATAATATGGGACTTCAAGCCTAGTCTAGTATAGGACAAAACAGGAGCGGGATATATTTTAACACTAGTGGCATGTGAAAAGCAGATATTACATACTAGAATTTGCATACATTAACATCGATGCAGACTATCACTCTATTCAAGTGCAATACAGTAAGCACTATTCACAACTGACCTGTGATAGCAATGCAGCATCTATTCCAATATCAAAGAACTGCAACAATATGGTAATTGACATTGTAACAGGGTCAACTGATCCAGCCTGCCAAAGAAACAGATTTTACATTACAATGATTACACAAAAAAAAGAAGAAAAGAGAGAATGATAGCAGAGATCATTCAGAGATGCAATACCTCCTTGAAAACAACACTTTGTAAAGACTGCAGCAAAAGAGAGATCAATCAGGCACCTTTTTCACACATTAAATCTTAGGTAGGAAAAAAAAAAAGGGAAGAAATTTTGTTAGCAAATGGAAATTGAGATATCAGCAATTTCACAATTTCAAAATTAAACACTAAACTTTTAATGACCTAACTTGCCTCAGAACCCCTTAGCATAAAAAACAAATAAACATTTAAAGCTGTTATTCCAATTAATTGTTAGAGAGTTGTTTATTCCATTTCAAGAACAATGCCATGTGGTAAAGTCCATGTTGGCCATGTTCCTGTGCACTTTCCCATACAATATTTTGATGGGAGGGCTAATATTCAAATCCTAACCTTTGAAATCAACAATGCAACCTTCAAAAAATTTGATGCATGAAAGCACCTAAAAATGATAACATGTATTCTACAGTCCAATAAGAGGTCTGATTTTAGGGTATTTTGCTGAGGTTAACTCAAGTCAATGATTAGCATTCTAGCTAACAATCATGGAGACTGGGGAGCAAACAACAGGAATTTTCAGACCAAGATTAAATAGTTTTTCAGAGGCACTATAAATTGAAAATTAGGGAGACCAGTGGAGCAAGCAAAATTAATTTTGAAACCAAGGTTAAATAGGTTATCAGAGGGCAAATTGGTGAGTAGAAGTCATGGGATTTTAGGTGGTTAAAACAATGTAAGAAAGGATGAAAAAAAATCTTAAAGTCTGGCTTCAGCTTTCTAGGAAACTTTCATTGAAGAATTTTTTTAAAATCTCACTTGAAAGGAGGGGGGTGATTTTGAGATTTTATTCAGATGTTACTGTGAAAATGAGGCATGGTAAATTGGGACTGTAGTAGTAATAATATTTTTTTCTAAACAGAACACTTGGAAAACTTGAACATGTGCTATCTCACTTATCAGTGCAAGATCTTTACTGGTGCAGTTTACATGGAATTAGAGCAAATAATAAAGGCCCCTTTTGAGAGCTTTTATTTGCTTTCACCTACTCAAGAAGTACTCTCAAGTAGCTTGAAGAAAGGGAGGTGGGATCCTAAAGTTTAACTCAATGTCACATACATTTCTGAAAAGCAATTCTTCTTTTTCTTAAAAAAAAAAAAAAAAAAAAGACATTCTTTAATTAGAACAGAAAGATTTGGCCATTATGTACCCATTTTTCTCAAATTCATTTTGAGAAATACTTATTCAAACTAGTTTGGACAAAAAATTGATATCAAAATATAATTAAATATAACTGCATAAAAGCTAGACTCCAAAAACATGAACTATCCATGAAATCAACAGGATGATGAACTTTTAGCACATCATTACCATTAAATGCTTTTGCAAGGCATTTCAGTTTTTCCTATTTTAATGATCACTACCTTCATCATATTTCTTTATAAATGAGATATCATTTTCAGGCCACTAGATTTACTATTTTACTCGATATGAATTGTGTAGCAAAGAAAAGTAAAAATTCCTTGGTCATATACCTTGATCATTTTGTACACACAATAAACTGAACCTGCATAACCAAGCAAATTCTGCATATGGCCCCTCCATGTTCGCGAATAAGTAGCAGCCTCCTGCAAAATATAAACAAGAAGATTGACCGTTGCTTTTCCTGAGAGAAATATAAATCTAAAAAGGAAATACAAAAAGGAAAACTCTAGCTTAAATAACTACAGCAATTGAGGACTACCATGATAGTATAATTGTACATCTTCTGTGAGCAGAACATTATAGGGTAGCCAGTATTGTGATAATCATGTTTATCAAAATACTTAACATGAACTAGAAAAATTCAAACAAATAAGAACTACAAGCAAATAGCAAAAAGAAATATTTTTATGCTACCATTCTGTTAATATCAATATCTTCTTATGTTTCTCCGCATCTTTTTGGTCCAATGCATGGTATATCTTGTGCATGAGAACACGGTACCATATCAATTTTCAAGACAAATAATAGAAAATGTGACAACATAGTATCGCATGTCAATTTGATTCAATTCTGACTAAATCTTAAGGCATAAATCTGCCATCTAGAAAATCAGCTTTTAAAGTGCCTCTATAATACTAAGGGATATGACTAAGTCTAGGCCTTCATTTGTTTACACTTTGAAAGATTAAGAAGGCCATAAGAGACAGTATTGACATCTAGGTCAACAGCCCATGATCATATTTAATATAATATTACAAGTGTATAGCCAAAGCTAAACCTTAGCTTGGCGAAGTTCATAGATTTCCAGGAATAGTTGCTTTGAAAGCTCTTCCAAAGCTTGAACCTCGGCATCCAAGATTTTAATATCTGCAAACAAAGAAGATAACCCCTTCATGGATTCGAAAAGATTGAATCATAAGTATTATGCACCTTTCAAATGTGTAAGTCAAATGCTAATGTAAAGAAAGTGAAATAAAACATCTTCCTTGGAAATTCTAAAAGCACATCAACACAAAATAGTAAAGCCACTACAAGGCTACAGCCAGAAACAAGCATAGATGACAGGCAAGACACTAAAACATCAAAAACACTACATGAAATACAACACCCGTACATCAAAAACAGCTAAATTGGCATTTCAGACTGTCGACAAAATTTTGAAACTTCTAAGTTTAATTTTGAAAACAATAAAACCAAAGGCCATTTTCAATACCAATTCAAACCCACCCAGAAGGTAGGGCAACAACTTTTCTCTCCCTGATGCTTATAGCTGATCCATCTTATCCTTTATTACAAGTTTGAATTGCGCCAAAACTAACAGGAAAATAATACCGCATATCTCTTCTTTAGTTCAATCTTACACGATCTACAATCTCACAGTTGAGGTGTAATAACTATAAAGTATTCCATATACATTAAGTGCCAAGATGAATGCAAACATCACAAAAAGATAATATATCCAATGATTACAGTGAAGAAGAAAGTAAAAAATCAAATTAAAAAAGAAAAATAAGATGATCAACATATCAACATATAAGGACATTGCAATCATTAATGAATGATGTTTCCACATTTGAGGTTATTACATTATAGTTGAGGTTCCTAAAGCGTATGATTATCCAAGGAGAAATTCTAAGAACTTTATTGAGGCAACCTAAAAAACCTTTGAAAGGAAAAACATCAAAACAAAAGCCTACTAAGTCAGAAGATTTTATGTAGAACATACCACATTGCAAATTCATCATTATAGGGAATTTTACAGTATATGTTGAAGAAGGGAAAAAAGAATGCAGACCTTGTTCCTTTTGATCATCTTGCACTGAACGTACAACCGTGCCTACAATCCTTTTGAAGAAGGATTTGGCCTTTAAGTTCTGAAACATACATCTTTAATTAGTCAAAAGAAAATGGTAACTATAATCACTGTCAACCAAAAGACTTGAGAAGTACTTTGATTTTAGGGTCAAAATGTAAAAAATGGCAAGAAATAAACAAATACACCAGACAAGAAAACAACATGGCAAACAAGTATAATGTATGTAAAGTGATTTTTGGCACCATGATATGGTCAGTTGTGACAGAATGTTCCAAACTGAATTCAAATTTGATGGAATTTAAAACCAATAATAAATTAGCTTAAAGAATCTGTATATGCTTCTTATCTTTATCTCCATCTTAGCACAAATTATGCTTCATTCATAACCTTAGGTATTTCTATTGTGGTCATTAAAGAGCCCAATCAATAAAATTGCATCAATTTCAAAGCACTAAGACAATAGGAGCAAGATCAGTGAACCTCGTCAGATCCTTGAATTCGTTCCATCTCCACTTGACAAAGAATAATTTTCTTTTTCTTCGCAACACAAGTCTCAATTGATTGCATTAGTTGTCTCTCCAATGCTTTAATCTCTGATTCCTCAATCTCTCTGCCATAATTACAGGCACAAACATGTAAGAAATCAAAATCATCTAGTAAATCGAAACAAGCATGATATTGGAAAACTAAAATGCCAGAGAAAGGCAGCTTTAATCTGTTAATCAATGTCAATAAAGTATCAGTATCAGCTTTACAACATTATAAGCTACATATGAATCTTCGACTTGATCCCAAAACTAGAACAAGCTTTACAGGGAATAAAAATAGCTTTGGAATCCCTTAACATGTGCTGTTTACAGGCTCAACCATGAGTAATAGATCCAAAGTTGGCTTGTGCAGACTATTATCGTGTTACCTTCTACAATTATCAAAATATGAATGGTTGTCAATCATGGATTCGCCCCTAAAGACATACACAGCCAATACCTGTTAAGGACCATGCTTGTGATACCTTGCATAAAAAATAGAAATTCCATAATTTCTTTAACTATAGTGATTCTATAAAATGTTATTGTATAAGAGGAATGTCTAAGAGTTTAGTGGGCTATTTCCCAGAGGTTCTGTTTCTAGGCTCAACTTATCATATAATCAACCTCATTCAGTTGAACATTGAACCTTCAACTAAACATTTGAGTATACGAATCAAAGGCAGTATCCATTTAATAATAACATGGACAACATGGTACATCTATTTTCCATGTAAAGAAGCTGGAGTATCAATACATTTTAAAGCTGCATACTCAGCAACTTAACAAAGCTTTTGCAAACATTTAGAGTTGGCAGAGAATCTTTTCTAATCATTTATATCTATCCAAGAACATGGTTGTTCATATTGTTTTGGAAAATATTTTCCGCTGTTGCAATCATTTGGCAGCTTACAATTAAGTTTTCTGACTCAAGTTCTGGAGATTACTTGAGAGCATACAATTATTTTCTTCTGCTTCCTGCTTGTTATAGCAATAAACATTCTAAACACTCAAAAAAATAAATTTTCCAACCACATTGATATAGACTTTTTATTTTTGCTGCACAAATACAAAAGTCAAATGCCCAGATATATTTTCCAACCATTTTCACCACATTGTACCTAAATTTAGAAAATAAGAGAATCTAACTTTGCTGCCACAATTGAATTCAGAAAATGAAAGTCCTTAATCTCAGTAATGTTCCTTAAAAGCTCCACCTATTCAAATTTCATATTTCAGCCAAAGAAATTCAAGTAGACACATCTCAGACTTCTTCCCCTAAGACATAATCTGAAAGAGGTGCAACCTCCAACTTCTTACAACTGCACTTATTTTCAAACCATAACATGTTCATTCTTGTCCTGCCACTCCATGGACATGACACAGAACTACCAAGCATTGTTACCTTGGAGTCTGGCCGTCTCTAAAAGTTTTCAATTGATAAGCACCCACTCCATCTTCATCCATCATATTGCAGGCATTAGCCTCATAACAAGAAAACATCTCTCCTGCATTTATTGGTCACTTTGTAATTACTCCCTTAGTTTTCCCCTTATCTAATCCCTGAGCACTTTTCATCACTACCTAAGAAAGTATATACATGATACCATTATTTTGTTAATGGACATCCCATCTTTCAGGAATTGCTTCAAGTAATCATTGGGGGGTCACATAAATCAAAGAAAATGAAAGAGAAGAATTAAGGTTGCACCAACAAGTTATGATCAAACAAATACTAAGCAAGCAATGACAAAAATGATGAAAATGAGATCCCAAACACAACAGAGAGGAAATGGTTATTTAAAATATGAAGCATGCAGGAACAAAATCTGTTTTAACTCTCCTGCATCCAAGAACCAAGAAATCAGATAACCAATACATGTCAGTACCTAATGAAAAGTGACAAATAGCTGTACGGCAAATTTACAGCACCAAAACCAGATAGGACAGCCATGACGGTTACTCCAACAACACCAATTCGACTGACCAATTGAGGCATCGTGAAGAAACCTGAAAAACAAAAATCAGAAGGAGCTGAGCTGCTGGAAAGCAGTAGCTAATATTTCTGAAACACTTGCACAAAAGATATATGCTTTAGGTTAAAATTAAACCATTATCCTTAAATCAAGATTACTGATAACCTGTTATAAAATCAAGTTTAAAAGCCTGCAGATTTTAGACCAGGCAGAAGCATAATCTTCTAAAGAGATAAGAAACACAAAAAGGTGAAGGGTGTGACTGATCTCCTTGCCTTACGCACAATGCATAATACTTTTGTAGCGTTTTGTAATTGATACCTCCAAACCAATCACATATTTCTCTTTGGCCTCCAAAACTATAAAATAAGTTCCCAACCTGTCATCCCACTAATATTCCAGGAATAATGCAGCCTCTATTATTTTTCTAAAATCTTTAAAGCCCCCAAATTCGCTCCATTACAATCTAATTATACACATCCTCCAATCTTTAATGCTAAGCCCCCAATTTCAGGTGTGGTACTCATATCATTAAAATCAAGCTTTGATGTCATATCCTCAAGGTCAGAGATCAAAGAATGAAACCAAATCCAATCAGAACAGAGGAAGAGAACTCTGTAAAAAAACATGGTGAGTCCTGTGCATGTGAGGCAGAGAGAAACTATTAACTTAACTAAATGCAAAAAAAAAACCTTTTTCAGGAGAGGGCATGGGAAAGTGAATGCCCATGCGCCAAAAAGCATAGAGAAACGCCAACAAGAATAGGATAGCTCCCAGTCCAGCTCGCTCCTTCCTCACACCTGAGATGAACATCCAAAAACATGAGGAGGCCTAAAAGATAACACTGAACCCATGTACTGATGTTATTTATTTTCTCTTTCATGACTTGCATATTTGGCCTCAGAAACTTTCACTGATAGTAATGCCACATACATAGGCACGAAGTGACCATATATAAAACGCTCTAACTACTTTTTAGATCCTTCTCAGCTCAGGAATCAATTGTGTGACAAAGTTGGATAAATCAATTGTAAAAACATATATATTCACCATTCCCCAGAGGTAACTGATTTAAAGTCACGGTTATATTCAATAATGTGGACAGTTATATCCGGGGGAAGGAGACACAGCAAAGTTCTCAAAAATGTTAACACCTAAACATTAACCCCCACAGGAGATATAGCAAATCCAAGAAAACAATTCTTGATTATAAAATAAAATTGGAGTTAAAACAATTCAATTAGCATTAAAAAAATAACAAACTCACCACTGTTGCAAAGCATCAAGTAGCAATGGTAATAAGGCAACATGAAAACTAGTAGCAAAATCAAACAGAATAGATCCACCTTCCAGTTTATCAATCTTGCCCTATCAACAAAAGGGAAAATGTGAGTTAACAATGAGTACTATGACATTCAAGTAATTAAATCAATGATTACAACCACCTTAATAGAGAATTAGTAAAATGTACAACAAAAGAAGCACAAGACAATAATAGTAATTTCTCCAGAACAACAAAAAAAACTTAATATTCAGAAGTCTAATGTACTTCATTATCTTATGACTTAAGAAAAAGGGAATCCTAATAAACGGTATATACAAATTTGCATTTCAAAAAGGATTAATTAACTTAAAATTACCAGATAGAAGATTAAGCTCAGTAGTTGCATTAAAACCAATACCATCAAAATCAATTCTAAAAACAAAACTTTTTCTCCTTCTCACATTCTCTTCCAAGAAACTAAATATCACATAAACATAGAGGCAAACAAGTTACACATAAAAGATTTATATATGTAAAAGCCAAGCCCCGTAGATTTTCTAACACAAACAAACAAGCACTGGGGTCTTCAGAAATCAAAAGGCAAGTAATTAAACTAACAACCAAAAGGTAATTAACAAAAAACAAAAGAAGCAACTAATAACTCCATATGCAAAGTACATTAACCAGTCTCCAAGAGTTGAATTAATCCCAAAAAACAGGAAATATCCCAATCATCAAATTCCAACTCAACTTCCTTTTTTCCATTCACAAAGCAACCAAAAAAGAAAACCAAAAGCCGTATTAGTAACAACACTTGAAACGCCTAAACATAAACGGTTAACTCCTAATAAAGTACGGATCACACAATTTAAGTCTCGATAGTTACATTAAACTTAAAACTATCAAAAACCCAATTTTCGAAGATCCTATCCACTCTTATTTCTCAATAATAAAATCCCCAAAAAAGCACATATAGAATTACTCGAACATTATTCAACTTTATTTCCTCTATTCACAAAGCAAAACCCATAAAAATAATAACACTGAAAAGCCCTAAACGCATATAGTAATTCAGTTAACACACAAAAAAAAGAAGCAAAATTAGGCTAAACTGACAGAAACCCACTTTACAAAACAACAAAAAGAAAATGCAAAAACAAACAAATAGAATGAGGGGCGACTCTTACTCTCTGGAGAGAACAGGGATGATCTCAAAAAGAACAAGCTGGAGAAGGTTACAAGAGAAAGCGAAAACAATACTGAAAATGATTTGAACCAAAGCTCTCTTTTCCTCGTACTCCTTGTAAAGTCTTCGGTTCAAGAACCAAAGACCTGCCCATCCTAGAAGAACTAGCGATCCCATTACCACCATTCCTTCGTAGATCGTCCATCCCCACCCCATCGTTTTTGCCAACTCTCCCTCTTGTTTTCTAGATTTTGTTTCTGGTGTTTTTATGCTGCCGATCTGTTGGAGTACTTCCCTAAGAATAGAGAGGACGCTGCATTTCGTTTCGGTTGGTTTGTGAGCCTTTTATTGATGAAACGTTTCCTTTCTTCTTCTCTATTTCTTCTTCTCTATTATTTTCCATTTTTTTCTTGAACTGACTTTATTTTTGTTGAACACTTTTTATCTTTAATATCTCTTTTTTGGGCAAATGAGATTTTTAATAATTTCAATTCGTGCTTTATTTTTTATTAGAAAGTAAAAAAAATAATTTAAAAAGTTACAAATAAAAAAAAAAGAACAAATTAAATAATGATTGTAACCATGCTTCTCCATTTTATTTAAAAAATATTAGTATTTATTATCACACGCAATATATGTGCATACATATTATTAATATATTTTTAAATTATAATTATGAAACATAAATAAGTAAGTTTTTAATTAATAAATATGTTTCTTATTGTAAAAATTCAATTTGTCTGAAATAAAAATTTTTCATATTAAAAAAACCTTAATTATATATTATAAAATAAAAGTTTCCATTAAAATAATTAAAATTCGAAAAAAAATGTATAACTAATATTAAGTATATAATATAAAGACACATTGCTAATTAATTGAAGCACAAATTGCAAAATACAAAGCAATTAGATAGATTGATCTAACTTATTTTAAATTGGATATAAAACCCAAATAACATATTCATTTTATTATTATTATTATTATATTTTTGAATTTACCTTAAAAATAGATTTTGATTTTGTATCCCTAATTTAAAATTTTATTTTTTAAAAACATCAATCCATATTGTTGAATAGGAAAGACAGAAAAACTTATCATTTCTCGTAATAAATACTTTAAATACGACTATAACAGATATGGACCCAACAATGTACCTTAACAGGTGAAAAGAAAAAAAATCCAAAACTCATACCACAAAGCATATTTTCAACAATTTACAACGTGAAAAGGTTAACAATCTAATCTTTCCAAAAAAGGAAAAAAAAAAAGGAAGTAAATAGATTTCCGAGATGCAAAGGTTAGAGTCGTAGCAAAAGTTTTGAAGTTAAACATAGGGTTGAGTGAATGATCAGTTCAGTCGATTCAGTTTAAAAAAATTAATAATCGACTTAATCGATTTTCATTTAACAAATAATTGAATCGATCAAATATTATTAAATAATCAATCATAATCGAATCAATTAAAATCGATTCGATTTGATTGGTTCGATTAAGTAATCGAATTTTTTTATCATTTTTCTTCTTATTATGAATAATTATTTAACCATAAATTTAATTCAATAAAATTCAAACTCTAATATCATTCAAATTAAATTACTAAAGAATTTAATAATTTTAACAATATTTTACAAAAAAAAAATTATCTCAAATTTTTTTAATTTTTAATTATTAGAAAGTCGGTTAATTCAGTAAGTACGATTATCAATTTTAAAAACTGAAAACCGATCGAATTAATCAATTTAACTGATTTAAAAAATCGATTATAATTAAAATCCAATAAATCGAATCTATTCAACAGAATTCACTCTATTTCGATCGATCTAATCAGTTCAAACCAATTTTTACTCACTCCTAATTAAACATGTGTAAATGAATTCGACATTGTTCTTAAATTTTTAATTTAGTGATTAAAAGAGTTTGACGAAACGTTAAATATTTTATTTCGAATAAAATATTATTTTTTTTATTATACTAAGATTTTGTCTTGATGTAAAAAAAAAAAATGACATCGACGTAACAGCAAAATAAGAAAGTTCATTTTTTCAAAAAAGAAATAATATTTCATTTCGTTGTTGAATTATTTTAATTTTTTAATGTAATGTTTAAATTTAAAAAAAATTAATAAGATGTCTAAACTTTATTTATTTTTTATTAAGTTGCTTTAACTCCTTACCATTATTAAAATAAAGTTGATATGATACTTAAATGTTAATGTAAATAACACATGATTATCATACAAAAATAATATAACAATCACATATTATTTAAAAAATAAAATAAAATAATTTCCAAAATTTTTATTTTATTTTTTAAAAATAATAAGCGATAGTTATATTTTAAATCGATTATATGTCATTCACTTTAATATTATTTTAATAATGTTAAAAGATTAAAATAACTTAATATACAAAAATAAAATTTAAGTACGTTTAAATACCACACCAAAATAAAATAATAATTCATAAGTTAAATAAGATATTATGCCTTTTTAAAAGAATACATGGCTCCTCTACCCGGGGACAGGAGAATTGCTGTACGTTGAATGAGTTTTTTAACTAGTCCCATCTAGCTTTTTAAAATAAAAATTATTGTAAAGATAGTGCAAATATGCATTTATTTAGTTGATATGCTTCTTGATTAATTAACAATATTCAACCAACAAAATGATATAATTTTGCAACTGTTGTTAAAATATTAATAGCATATTAGAAAAAAAATAGTCACTAAAAAATATTATATTGCATAGCCTAAATATTTGATTTTGTTTTGTAATTCCTTTTGAAATAACACTGATTATAAAATTAAAATAAATCATGTGCTATTGTTTGATATATATATATATATATATATATATGGAGAAAAGAAAGAAAATTGAATTGAAAGAAAAAAAAAAAGGAAAAAAATAATTGTTACCTAGCAAATCATCAGGTTGATCATTCCTTTGACGATGAGATTTCGTTGTCATCAATCCGTATTTTAGAGACATGAGCAATCTTGGCCCAATCCTTCTCCATTTCTGGTTTGCATCTTTCTCTCAAAGTCGGACTTCCTTCGGTTTCCAATTGTTTGAGGCGTGGCATCTGCTCTGGCAGCGATGACAACTTTGGGCAATCCTCAATCTCTAAATTTTCAAGTGATGTGAAATCCTGCTTCTCTGATAACGTTGTGAGATTCTCACATTTCCCAAGCCTCAAGTTTTGCAAGGTGTCGATAGATGTTAAAAGAAGCCATTGGGGTAGTGCCTCCAACTTTGATAACCCCCCAATCATCAACGTTTGAAGGCGTAACCCGCTGCCACCATGGTAATCTTGATTATCATCATCTTTTTTCTCTCTTCCAATCCCACTGTCATATTAAGATCAAGCTTTTCACAATCCAAAATTATTAGATGTTTTAATGCGGTTGAAGATTTCAAACCATGCGGTAGAGAGATCAAGTTTTTGCAATGAAAAATCGTCAAGGTACGAAAGAATGAAAGGTTCTGAATCCCTTCAAATAAATATTATAAATTCTCACACTTTCCAATAAACAAAACTCGAAGAGATTTCAAGTGCTCAAAGCCATTCTCAGATAAAACCTTCTGTCTTGTACTTACTGCTAACAGTCTGAGACTGATCATGTATCTCAAATCTTTGGGCAACTCTTCAATTCTTTCACCAAAGAGAAGCAGAGTTTCCAAACTCTGTAACTTACATAGGGAATTCAGAAGTTTCTTGATATTAGAATTGCCAATTAGGTCAAGATACCTTAAATGCTTCAAACTACCAATATTTCTGGGCAATACTCAAAACTAGATTGTTTTAGATCTAGTACTCGCAAATTATGGAACCTTGTAAGGCATTTTTTAATAAAGGATTTACTACCCTCTTTCATATATGGGCAGCGAAATGTACGCACCTGAGATAGTTTATGAGTATCAAGGAACCACCCATACGGGTATTCTTCAAGAAAATCCAAGTTGTCAATGTACAAATGTCGAACCCCTTGGGAATATTTTGCTTGAAAGAGTTTACTGTGCAGCATTCATTCTTTGTCACTGCTATTGCAAGATCACGTAGAAGATCATGTATTTTAAAAGAATAAAAAAACAATTCTTTAGCAATATCTTGAAAAAAAGATCTTGATGATAGATCGTTCAAGTAACGCCTGCCAATATCTTCTAGGTCTACATTGTCATGGGAAGGTTGAAGCAAACCATAGGCCATCCAAAATTGGGTCACCTCCCAACCAGACGTTGATAATCCTTTGGAAAGACTGAAAGTAATGCAAAACATTGTTTAAGATGTGGAGGCAATTCATCATAACTCAATTTCAAAACAGGAAAAATGTTATTTTGCTCTTCCACTAATTTCCACATCTCACTATCTCTCACAAGTTTCCAATCGTGCTCTGAAGTTTTGGTTAGAAGCAGACTCCCAAGTGTCTTCAAAACCAAAGGAACTCCATTGCATTTTTTGACTATCTCTTCCCCAATTTTCACTAGGTTTGGAGATAGATTCACTTCCCCTTTCTTGAATGCAAATTGGAGAAACACTGACAAAGCTTCTTTCTCGTAAAGACCTTGCAAATTGTGTGCTGGGATTGTGCCCATCATCTCTGCAATTTGGTTATTACGAGTAGTGAATACAATTTTGCTTCCGCTACCTCCTTCCGCTAACAGCTGTTTCAATTCATTCCACTTCATAGGATTCACGTTCCATACATCATCTAAAATGAGTAAATATTTTTTCCCATCCAAACAATCTCGGAAGGCCTTCTGTAATTGCTCTAAATCCATGTTACTACAATCCCCTTTGCAGCTTTAATCATTTTATCATTAGCAGTTTCAAATCAAAATCATCTGAAACGCACATCCATACTTTCAACTCAAAATGACTATCCACATCTTCATCATTGAACACCAACTTGCAAGGGCAGTCTTTCCAAGGCCTCCAATTCCAACTATGGGAAGGACAGATACGCCTTCCGCATCTGTTGGATCTTGCATCAAAGTTATTATGATTTTTTGTCTGCCTTCATCTCTGCCAATGATATCTGCAGCTTGCACAATGGAGTGGGTCTCTCTGTCCAAACGCACGACATGTCTAGTGCCATCATGTCCTTCAGTGAGATGAAAATTATTTTTCAAAGCAGCAATCTCACCGAACCTCTCAGTAACTTTTCTAATCTTGTGGGCCATCCTAAATCGAAAAGCAAGTGGATTTGAGCTCGAAAAGAAATTGCTAACCTTGCTTCCAATGCTCTTCTGTTTCAGAACTTGCCTCCGCAATGTTTCTATTTCATATTCATCCAAAACATCTTCTGCATCGTTACGGGCATCCTGCAGCTTCTGTAACCAATTGCGCAACTGACTCATTACATTAGATATTTGGGTGTTTTATTTCTACGTATTCTCATAAATTCATTGCAGTCGAGTAGAACATTTTTTCACCATGATAAAAAGGCAACGATCTCCAAGTCCCAGTCCCTTTCTTTCTCAACAAAGACTGGTGAGTCCCTCTCCACAACTATTTTCCTCAGCCTCAACTTCTCAGCTAGTGACACCCCTTCCCTAATGGCCATCGCTTCAGCCTCAATACTCGAGTTAACCAGCATTTGCTTGTCAAGTCCACCAATCAGCTGCATGCCCTTCATCATCTTTAATTACCCCCCTATTCCTAGCTGGCTATAAGCTCCGTCACAATTTACCTATGCCCACCCTGCCTCTCGTTTAGTCTAGCAAGAGGTTGTATTTCGTTTTTGTACTTTCCCCCAATTACCTTCTTACTTCGGCATTCCCAAATTTATATAGCCATTGCTAGCTCCCTCAATTCTTTGAATTGTCAAAATAGGATCTGGTATTAATTTCTTCTAAATAACGGTACACGTTTTGTTGGAAATAATTATCCAAATTTCATAAAATATTTGAATACAGGTTTATTTGAATTGAAATTAATTAGATATTATTTTTTAACAAAATAAAATTTTTAAGAAAAAATATTTTTTGGATAAACAAGTTATTATACTTATAAATAGTTAAAGTATCAGTTCAATATAAAAAAAATATGATAGAATTATAGGGTTTTATTTAGTAAACATAGAAGAGATTGAAAAAATTTTATGAATATATATATTTAAATATTTATGAATTGATTATAAAATATTAAAAAAGTTTATATAAGTATTACGAATCACGTGTGCTATATATATGTTTGTTTAAATTGATAATATTTCATAGAATTAAAAGATAATAAAATGATCTATGAATATTAATTTAATTAAAATTAAGTATTGATAATTTATTTATTTATAATTCTTTATAATTAATATGTATTTTCTCATCCGATAGACATAAATTAGTTTATATGAATTACATTAAATTAATATTTTTATATGATTAATTAATTATTTAATTATATTTTATACGGCTTAAATATTTAATTGCATTGAATCTTTTTACCTAACTACTAATACCAGAACTATCGATCCTAGCAACATCTTTCCTTCCAAACTACCCAGCAAGCATAAGCCACCAGAAGCCACCATAACAGTTAGTGTTTCCTGTTGCTTTATAGCTAAGTTTTCAATCATTGTTATTTATTCGAACAAAGTATCAAAGGTTGCTATCTCTTTATAATTAATCCCAAATCCAATCAGGGGCGAAGCCAGCATCATGAAATTAGGGCCAAGTATTAAGCCAATAGTAAATTAAATTAAAAGGGGCCAAGAATGAAAATAAAGTGTCAAAATAGTAATTTTAAGACTATCAAAAGGCTATCAAAATCATTTTAGGGACTGTGATCCATGCCTGCCCGTAAATTCGCCTTTGATGTGCTGGGTTTGTCTTTGATGGAGGAGAAATGGTTCATGCAAGAATTCAATTGTAAGTGCCATTTAAGTAATAATAATTTCTTAAACTTCTAACCAAGCTAAAATATTTGAATTGAAACTAGACTCTCCTTAATTTGCTTAGGCCGATTTATTCCTTAAGTGAATAAATTAAACAAATCGATCCAAAAATAAATTGCGACTTCAAGTTTACATTAAATGAAAATAAAAACCTTTAAAAAAAAGGGGAGAGGGTTGTCAATGGCTGTCATGCTTGGACATGGTTTTGTCTTTGTTATAACTTAGTGGGGACAACTGCTGTTGAGGCTCTAAAAAAATGACTTTCTTAATAAAGGATTAAAATTAGGTGAAAAAAGTTATATAGTCGTACCATCGTACCGTGACGTGGCTCCATTTGAATCCAAACGAGTTCTAAATGTGCTTAATTGCCAAATGATTGATGATTGATTTTACTGGTAAGTTATGCCTAAGATAAGGCTGGTTTTATATTTATCAATTTTCTTTTGCCAATATATTTATCTTGTTTATATCACTTAATTTAAACCTATCTTAATTGATTAAGACTTGCTAAACAAGAAATTAATAGAACATTTATTTATTTTTTGAAAAAATAATTTTAAAAATTATTATAATTTTAATTTTATTCAAAATAAATATTTTAAAACAAATTTTGTGACCATTGAAATTTGCGATTAATTTTCAACGAGTGCGAATAGTGGGGTAATCCACAGTTGTTTTTCAATAAAGCGTGTGGAGCGTGTGATATGCACGTGAATGAAATTGAAACCCCGTCCACACAATGTGTCGGTGCGTGTCAAGCTAATGGCAAGAAATCCACACGCGCTCCCTTTTGTAAAACAATGTACTCGCTAATATCTGACCCTTTTTTCGGACGAAAATTCGCCTTTGTTTCAACCACCAATTAAAAAGCGAGTATCGTTCTTGATTAAAAGTTAAAACCAAGCAATCTCCAGCTCATCAAATGGAAAATACAGCCACAGTTTGTCTAGCAAGAAACTTCTGTGGAAGCTACAACTTCATTGGACACAAGAAAATTTCAGTGGAAAATAAATCAAAAATTTTTTCTTCGATTGGGGCACATGGTGAGGCACGGAGAATAGAGGGTCTTTTGCTCTTTTTCTCTTTGCCAGTGGTGGTTCTATCGTCAAATAAACTCTCAGAAAAAATTAAGTTAAAATATTAGAAAAATGTTTTGAACAATTTTATTAAAAAAAAATTATATTTTTAATATGTCTACATAAGTTTTTATTTTTTTAATTTATATTCAAATAAAATCTTATTTTAAATAAAAGATTTTATTTATATTAATGAATTCTTTGGGAACAAATTAAAAATTAAGAATTTAGTTACATATAAATTAAAATTAAAAATTTTATTTTAGTATAAATTAAAAATTAAAAATTATTTAATTATAATAAAAAATTAAAAATAACCTAAATAAAATAATAAAATTCAATGACTTTTTTTATTATTTTAATAAAAAACTATATTGCAACAAAAGGAAAGGAAAAAAAGTAGAGAGAAGTTATAGGATTTTGATTTATATGAAATACGAAATGCCATTTAATTTTTAGTCTACATTTATCTATATCTATAATCTATCTATATCTATACAAATGCAAATGTTGAAAAACTTTTGAATTAATGAAAACTATTTTATTATATTTTTTAAATTTCATTTTAAATATTTTATAATTTTTAATTCCATTAAAATTTAATTAAATGAATTTATTTACTAAAAATAAGTTTTATTTAATTTAAGTGAGAATTCTAATTTAATTTAAACCATACATACATGTTAATGCAAATTAATTTATGTAATTTATACGTAATATATGCAATCATATGTTTAATATATAACTTTTATCTAAAAATAATAAAACAAGTATTCATGTGTATTGTAGATTCATATGTACTGTATGTAACAGCAAAAACTAATAAAGTATTGAAAATATGAACGTTGGTAAATTTTTAATTAATAAAAAGAAATATATTTGCTTATATAATTTTAAATTGTTATTTTAAATATTTTAAAGATAAATATTATTGAATTTATAAATAAGAATTTTAACTTCATTAAATATATTTTTTATAGTAGCATAGTATTTTAAGTGATTTTTTATATTAAAATACATAATAGATAAAATTTTTGAAATATCTTGTGATAATATAATTCTATTTATAAAAACTTTATATATTTTATTTTTGTAAAACAATTAAATAGAAAAAAAAAAGAGTTTTAATATCCAGCCTATAAAACACGTGTCGGGAAATGACCCCTCGTTGTACACTGAAATCATGTCCCGGCCCGTCAATAGGAAAAAACAATTACTCGTTTCCCTCCGGATTATGAAGGCCTCACACTCGTTTCCACCGCTAAATCCTCGCTCCTACATTCAACACACAAAAATCTCCTTTGAATCGAATAAAATTTGGAGAAATTCGAATTTTAGAATTTTCTTTTCTTTGAATTCCCATTTCTATAAATAGTCTTCCAAGAGTCAATCACCAAGTAATCTTTCTTCATTATCAATAATCGAAAGAAAATTCTTCTTTTTCTTTAGAAACTTTGCATTACATTCCCATTATTCTTTCTTCATTATCAAGAATTGCTAGATCCACGCTTTCTTCACTTTACCAGGTAATCTTTCTCTTCCTTTTTCTTTTGCTTCTTGGGTTCTCTTTTTTTTTTAAAAAAATTATTGGGGTTCTTTTTCTGGGTTTTAAGCGGATAATGTTACTGATTTGACGGTTTTCTTGTTAACGTGATCACATTTTCTTTGATTTTATGGACAGTTCTGCTGATTTTTAGTTTCGGGTTTTTTTTTTAACCCATCTATCTATTTATTTATTAGTTTAATTGATGGGAATCACTGGATTGATTGAGTTTGAATCTCAATTTTCTTTTGAGTTATGATTTTTTTTTCTTAGATTTATGTGTTTGATGCTTTCATTTTTAGATTAATAGATACATTATTAATTCCAGAGTAGCCCAGTTCTTAAAAAAAATCCCTTGCTTGGTTTCGTTTGGTTTCCAAGAATCGGCAAGAGAAAACAAAGTTAAAAAAAATAGAAGTTTCAACGTGCCATTCTTTACTAAGTGGCCCTGAAAAAACTACCCATTTCAGTCAAGAAAAGATTTTTAGAAAAACAAAAAGAGAATTCCTTTTTTTTTTTTTTCTCATTTCCCCCAATTGCTTAGTAAGTAAGTTTATGGAAATTGCTTTATTAACTGAAATGAAATAAATTTAAAAAAAAAATGCAGATCTCTGTTATAGAAGAAAACTGCTGCTAACAATGACTCTGGCTAATGGCAATGCTCACCGCATGACTAACAATGGCGATGTAAGCAAACCCTTCAAAATCTTTGTTGGTTATGATCCGCGTGAAGATCTAGCTTATGATGTCTGCCGCCATTCTATATTGAAACGTTCTTCAATTCCTGTTGAGATCACACCCATTGTTCAATCAGATCTTAGGAAAAAAGGCCTTTATTGGCGTGAAAGGGGTCAGTTGGAGAGCACTGAGTTCTCCTTTTCGCGGTTCCTAACACCCTACTTGGCGAATTATGATGGTTGGGCTATGTTTGTTGACTGTGATTTCCTTTACTTAGCTGATATCAAGGAGTTAACGGAGATGATCGATGATAAATATGCAATCATGTGTGTTCATCATGATTATTCCCCCAAAGAGACCACGAAAATGGATGGTGCTGTGCAGACTGTGTATCCCAGGAAGAATTGGTCTTCTATGGTGTTGTACAATTGTGGTCATCCAAAGAACAAGGGGTTGACTCCAGAGGTTGTGAACAAGCAAACGGGTGCATTTCTTCATAGGTTTCAGTGGCTTGAAGATGATGAAATTGGATCAGTCCCATATGTTTGGAATTTTCTGGAGGGGCATAACAAGGTTGTTAAGAATGACTCGACATCGTCTCCTAAAGCTATACATTACACTCGTGGAGGACCATGGTTTGAGACATGGAAGAATTGTGAGTTTGCTGATCTTTGGGTGAATGAGATGCAAGAATACATGGAAGAAAAGAAGTCAAATGCAAGTTAAATCAAATCTACACAGACAGTGGTATTTTCTAGTATCTGTTTTACTAGTATGTCCATTTACTCTTGCTCCATTTTTATTTTTTATTTCATTGAATATGTTTTGTGTATCCTAGATCTGATTATGCTTTAGAGAAGAGGTATTTTCTCTGTGGTAGTGTATCCGATGGATCGTATATGTAATTTTTCAAATTTTTTATTTGTTGAACTGAATAGATTTGGGATCTAATCCTTGGTATGTTATGCAGTATCATTAATTGTTTAATGAGAGGTCATTCTCTTGTTTTTCTTTTGTTGTTGTTGTTGCATTTGATCTTCAATTGGAAAACAGGACTCACTCAAGCCATATCATTTTCGTTTTCTTAATGAGGTGATGCAAAATTGATGGATGAAAACTTTGTTCATTGAGTTTGATGCTTCTTTATTTGTTTTCCACTTCTGGATGCGAGTGAATTATGCTTGTTGGTTGCAACCATTTTGATCTTGTTGCCTTAAATAGCAAAATTCTTCACTAGAATCAATTTGAGAGGAGAACATTACCCTTCACCCTATCATTTTCTTTCTTAATTTTCTTATAACAATTACCATCTAAGATTCGTATTTTCTTTATTCTTAAAATCACATTTGAGTAAAAATTATATGAATTTAATAAAATAAAAGATATATTTAATATTTTTCGTGTGCTATGTAATTTTTATTTAAAATACAATACAAGTAAAATTATTATAAATGTCTAAAAAAAAATCTAATAACAATATAAAAAATAGGCGATACGTCTATATTCTAATGCAAAATGTAATTTTGTTATTAGTGAGCTTCTTCCAAATAAATTGTTCAAAATTCCTTGAAAACTTTAACTAAATAGTCCCTCGTTGTTTAGAAAAAAAATGTAATAAACTAATTACAGTGTTATGTGTGTTAATCAAATTGAAGAAAAAAATTATACATTATATAATATTTTAAAATGTGATTTAAAGAATAAAGAAAATACGAATCTTAGATGGTAATTGTTATAAGAAAATGTAATGAAAAAGGTTAAGTTAAATGTAATCTTTTAATAAATTAATGGAAAACATGCTCCCCACGTGTTGAAGAAGTTTTCTTTGGAGTGAACGATACTCCTATTCTCAATTTTTTATCTTTTGGGCTACACTCTTAACTGGTACACTTCCCCTTTTTGAATAAAGTAACCACATTCCCTCCACCTTTGACCAGCAAGGAAATTTTTTTTTTTAATTTTCTTTTGCAATCAAATTTAAAGAAAATCAGGAAATTAGATATATAAACAAATTGATTATAAATGAATTTTATTATATTTATAATTTTTTTATTTGAATAATAAATTTTAAAATATTATTTATAATTATTAATTATATTAATAAATAAATATTAAATAAAAAGAACATAAAATCTTAAAAAGAATAATAAAATTTTGAAAAATTAAGAGCTTAAAAGCAAAAAGAAAATATCAATCATTAACCAAAAGTAACATCTTAAGCAGAAGGAAACGGAGGATTTGAGGCAAAATCCGACACGTGTCCTGCTGACATGCTAAAAAAAGACGGCCCCAAAAATCGAAAAGAAGAGCCAAAAGCTGCCATCTGAAAAACCTCTCTTCTTGTCATTTCCAAAGAGAGAGAGAGAGAGAGAGAGAGAGAGAAAGGGAGGGAGTGAATAGTGAAAGAGTCCAAGAGCAAGCACTTGTCGAAAACGACGCGCTTGACTGAGTTTCAGGAGAAACCCGGTCGAAGGAAACCCTAATTTTTGTTTAATGAGGTTTGCTTTTTCGCTTATTGATTTTTCTTTTCCTTTATTTTTTTTGATCGATATCTTTTTTTTTTTTTTTTGTGATTAAGATTACTCGATAATGTTTTAGTTTCTATTTTAGGTCATGTTAGTTTTATTTGTTCGATTTCGATTTTTTTTTTCTTGAAGTAATAACTATGAGTAGGAGAAGAACGAAAAAGGAAGGGTTAAAACTTTACCTCAGAAATTTTTTGCGTTTTTTTGTTCAAACTGTTCAGAAATTCATTAGAAACGTGTAGGTTTTTAACAATATTATGATTGTTTTTCAATACTTGCAAGTGTTGAGAAATGCGACCTGAGTTGTAAAAAATTGATAGCTTCGGATTTATAATGACTATTACACCTCGTTTGTGTAGAAATTTGAATGCTATTTCTCCTTTGTGGTAGTATCTGGGCAAAGTTGATTCAACTTAATCTCATGTATACACCATCTGTTGATTTATCTTTGATCCTTTCCATCTTATTTGATGACACCTCCCCCCCCCCCCCTTCTAAAATGCTGTGTAACAGATGAGTTGGTAGAACAATTATATTTTTCTTTGATTTTTGGATATTTTGAAATAAGTTTCCTTCACTGCATATGTCTACTTGGTGGACCGGCATCTTGTAGATTTATTATGATCCCAATAAACAATTTGAAATCATGGAAGTTGAACGTGCTTTTATAACTGATGAAATTACTCTGAGTTTTTGCTCACGTATATTTTTGGTGGGACGTTGATTTTGTTGGTGTTCAAGACCAGGTTCATCTGTTTTTTAAGATGTTATCTAGTGTTCATAAACTACTTGACTGCCTAAATCAGGGAGGATTGTAGGACTTTAAGCATTATCATATGGGTTAGACAAATGTAATACTTTAGATGTTCGACATATTTATATTTTCATTTTCAACATTCTAGCCATGGACGATATTTTTCTTAGAGAGGCTAATCTGCTTTATTGTAAATTGAACAGCTTAATTGCATTGTTTGCTATTCAGCTTGTTGCATAAAGCCTAGAATGAGGAGAATATTTTGGTTATGTTATTCAAAAGGGATTTTAACCTTGGATGAGTTTTATGACATTGAATCAATTCCCTGTGACAAAAGCTTTTCAAGAGCCAGAGATACCTTTTCACTATGCAACAATCTATCAAAAATTCTACAAAGTCCGTGGGATGTCAGGAGGGTGAATATTGTTAAATATCTAATTGCTCTCAAAATTTAAAGTCATGCAATTTAAGTATTTTACATTAATTTATTTAGTTCGCATTCAATTCAGATACCCTTTTGTTTCTTGTGAAGATAGTGGATTTTGTAGAACTTACTGCTTTGTTGATGCTATGTCACCTAACTTTTGTTTTACATGGATATTAATGGCATCTTGGTGCACTCTGACCGTAGGTCATATTTGGATGATTCAAAGTTTTTCCCTGTAACCCTTCTCTTGCTCTTAAAATGAATACAAGAAGCGGCCAGGTATCTAGGGGTGAGAAGTCAAAAAATTTTAAGGGTGAGGGTCCAAATTGGGTTCTTATTGCTGGTGGTGCCTTGCTAAGTACCTTATCAATCCGCCTTGGTTACAAGCTGAAACAGTCACTTGACACAAAGCAACAGGACAATGCTACTACTACCTTGAAAGGTGACTAGTATTTATTTGCTCCAGTAATTTTGATTGAATACATAACTGCTTCTAAATTTAGAGTTTGTGACAGGGAATGGAAGTTCTGACAGGAGGAGATCATCAGGTTGCCATTTACACTCAAACATGTATTCATTCCAAGAAGATGATGGTTGTTTCAACTGCATTTCAGGTCTGATGCAGCAATCTTATAATTTGAGCTGCCCAAAGGGTATATACATAAGCAATTGCTTTAGCTTTCACCTTTTTATGATTTAGTTCTTATCTTTGGAGTGGAATGGTAAAAGAGAAGAAAGAGAATTGTTATGGATCCTCTAGTTTGATTTCTCTCCCAAAACCTCTTTTTCAGCGTAAATAGTCACATATTGGCCGGAAGGAGAAGAAACAAAGTCTCATTTTCCTTTAGGATAGAGCCTTATATGGATCCGATTGTAATCTTGATTTGCTTGCCTTCTAGTTTAATACTTGGCAGTTTCAGTTTTTCTAAGTTTTTAAATTGTGAGCTAGTTTTTTCTTTTGTACCTGTTGGTTTCGTATTTAAGTTTGAGTTTAAAACAGGAGCTGAAAGCATAGGGGAGAAGCACCCACACAATGGCCAGATGCAGCTCGAATCTGAAGTTGCTCTCCCTCTGGTGACAGTTCCCACCTCTGAGTTCAACAAGGATAATGGTGTTATGTGGGCATCATCTCCCGATCGCCATGAGTTGCCTCCAAAGCCATTCCATCATTCTAACTGCTCTGACTCACCATGTGTCTCAGAATCGGGCTCTGACATATTTAGCAAGCGGGAAGTGATACAGAAACTAAGGCAACAGTTGAAGAGAAGAGATGATATGATTCTGGAGATGCAGGATCAGATTATGGAGCTGCAGAATTCACTGAATGCTCAGGTGGCACACTCAGGCCATTTGCAATCACTGGTGGATGCTGCAAATAGAGACTTGTTTGACTCCGAGAGAGAAATCCAAAGGCTGAGGAAGGCAATTGCAGATCACTGTGCAGGACATGTTGGCACGAATGGGAAGACTTCAGCTGTCACATCTTGGCCATCTGACATAAGAAATGGCCATGCCAATGGGTATCTTGATGGGGAAAGCAACTTGGGCTCCCCTGAGAAGGGAAGGGGAGATGGGGAGAGAATTGAGATGCTGAAAAGAGAAGTAGGAGAGTTAAAAGAGGTGATAGAAGGAAAAGAGTACTTGTTACAGAGCTACAAGGAACAAAAGATGGAGCTTTCCATGAAGATCAAGGAGTTGCAGCAGAGACTGGATTCGCAGCTCCCCAATATTTTGTAGGTTCTGTTTAGGATTTTGTGCATTCTTGCTTGTTTTCCCCTGTTTCTTTTCTTTTATTTGAGGTTTTAAAAAAATGCCGCTTTTTTCTCCTTTCTTTGGCACTATCATTGGCTTTGAGTTTTTTTTTGCCACAATAATTGGAAGTTTAGTGTTAGGTGGTATGTTCTTTGCTTGCACATCAGCATGGATGAGAATGAGGGTTTGTGTCTGAGAGAAAGAGGAGGGAAAAGCAAAGCAGTAGGCACCCATTCTATTGGGTTATAATTGACTTTTTCTCTTGCTTAGCGAGTGCCTTTTTTCATATAGGAATTATAAATTTAGCAAATGCAAACAAGAGCTTTATCTACCGTCTGTGCCCATGAAACATGGTAGTGAGACATATTGTATTTTTCTTGAAAAAGGAAAAATAAATTAATAATGTAGCAAAAAATACAGGCAAATTCAACTTAGCAAAGGCAGCTAAAATTTGAGACAATAAAAAGGAAAATGAAGAATTTCAGCACATATGCTCCGAGAGAAAGAAAAAGCTAACGGAAGCAGGATGGAAATAATCAAGAATTTTGGAATTTAAACGTTTTTGTATCATCATATATGATGAATTGAATACCCTAAAGAAAAGAGAAAAAAGAGCAACAAAAAACAAAAAAAAAAAAGATAGACAAATATTATTTCATTTTCACCATCATGTCTAGATTTTAATTAAGCGTAATCCAGTGCAAGAAAAGGGATGGAATTTACACAACATTGAATTAGATGAAGTAAAAACGTATATGTAAAATAAGTTTTTTTTTAACGTAAATAAGTTTGGAATGGACCAAAATGGGGCAAGAAAACAACGTGATTTACTTGAGGCACAGCTGCTTCTATGGCTACTTCGAATTTCACCATTTGGTTTGGGTGAATGTAACATGTACAAAGAACATTTAACAAGCTTAATGGAAGCCTCAAGCAGCTCTCAAAAGCAAAGAAACTCCTCCTTTGCATGGTTAGCCAAGACATAAATACAAATAACACAAGGCTAAATAAAATGAAAATGTCCTAAAATTTTACTACGTATTTTCTTTTACAAATGAGGTGAGGAAAAAGAAAAAGGAGAAACAAGTAAAAAAAGGAAGGGAGATATAACCTTTACAACTCATCTTCTGTTCAAATCAAACTCCCCAACTTCGTGCCAGTCATTCTGTACATCTGTATATCCGTTTTCGGTCTCTTCATCATTCAAGAAATCTTCAGAAGGTTCCTTTTCATCCTTCTGTGCATTGTTCTCCCAGCCATTCATAATCTCATCAGGTTTAACACCTTGTGCATGCTCTCCAATGTCATGACCAATTGTAAGGTTGCTTCCTTGAGACCCACGTGCGTTTGCCCTTATAGGTCCTTGAGCCACTATTTCAGCATGAGCTTGTGATTCAACTCGAGCTTGCTCTGCCTGAACCATTGCTTCCAGTCGCAACTTAGCCTCATGAGCCTCCCGACCAGCCTTCTCCCTAGATTCTATTTCTGATCTCAAAACAAACATGGCTTTCTTCTCTTCCTGGAGAAGAGCCTGCTCAACCATCAATCTTTCCTCTGATCGAAATTCCCCCATAGCTCGTTTGCGAGATATTATATTGAAGGCAAGGGCCTGTTTCTCAAATGTGGCTGTGAACTCTGCGACTTTGGCAGCAATGTTGTGATCCCACTGCTGGGAGCGAGATGGCATCAGGCCGGTTGTGTCAGAATCAAGAATTCTATCATCCTCCTCTGCTTCATAGTCCGCTACTACATGATAAGGTAGTAACCTGCACAGTTTCATGAAAATACACCGTAAAAAACAGAAAGCAAGGAGAAAATTACTTGACCCCAAATGTCATAATAAAAATTATTCAAGTAGTGAGAGAGAGAGAGAGAGAGAGAGAGCTTGAATTACTACTACTTATCCTCCATAGGATTAAGTGTTTTATGTGAAAATACACAAAAATTGCTTTCCTATGCTTCACCATACCCTTTCTTCCAAATAAAGTTTGTAAAATATTCCCCTCAAACTTCCTATGAATGAGCCTCCTTCATATTATTTTGCAAATATCTAATCAGGGTTTACAGGTTAGCATTATGGGCCATCTGGAGAATCCATTTACTGTTATTTACACTTATCAAGAAAATTCAAAAACTACCTTGCAGCTATATAACATGCATATACTACATTTCATTGATCATATGCTATAACACACATATACTACATTTCATTGATCATATGCTAAAATATTCATTTTCTAAAAGGATAACCACTCTATGTTGATTAATAAGGAAGACGATGGAGAAACTTCAAAGTACATATCTAATCCCATCCAAAGGTCAAAGTCAATTAGCTGGGTTAATGTGTGACCCACTGCTAATATAAAGCTGTGTTCACATAAGATGAGATAGATGGTTACTATCGTCTTCAGTTCATACCCCTCTATATCTAAAAATAAAAATAAAAGACCATTCCCCTCAACTGACACAATGAAGAGAGAATCAGATAGAAGAAAAAGGGGGGGTGGGGTTTATAGCCAAGACAGAAAAAGGAGGGAAAAGGATTGGGCGGGAGGGGGGGGGGGAGAAACAAAAGTATTTTAAATTGCATGCATGTGTGTGTGTGTGTGTGTGTGAATTTCAGAAGAAAAAGGGGGGGTGGGGTTTATAGCCGAGACAGAAAAAGGAGGGAAAAGGATTGGGCGGGAGTGGGGGGAGAAACAAAAGTATTTTAAATTGCATGCATGTGTGTGTGTGTGTGAATTTCCACATGTTCTTGATTTTATTCATTAATAGAAGTCAAAAGAAGCAAGAAACCAAAAAAAAAATCAGTAACAAAAAATTTAGAAGCCTGAGGACACACAATGAAGCGCAAAAGTTGCTGCCAACTTTAGAAGTTTTTGGTAAAAAATTCTTAGTCCTGTATACAGTGGGAAAGAAGATACATAAACCAGTGCAAGATGTGACCAGAGGAAACATATACGTTTCTAAAAACTAACCAGGAAAATGCAAAGCAAAGTCAGGAAAATGGGTGAAACATCTTGGGTAAGATGGTAGCAGCATATAAGAGCAGTAGAAACACTAGGTGGGACAATAAAGATATCACTTAGTCACTCTGTCAGTTCCAATTTATTCATACAAATAAACATGTAGCCAATCAGCTTACAGAACATATGAATGTTAGATACTAATGAGTGTTTTTCAAAGCTAACCTCAATGCAACAGGGAGGATACAATCTTATGAATAAAATATCAAGTTAATTTGAATGTTAAAGGTTTTCCTTTATTTAGTGTTTTCATTTTTTCCCATGAGACAGATGACAAAGCTGAGCAGAATGAAACTGTCTAGCCGAAAGGATTTCTGACACATGCGCATAACTCCAAATATGAAGATCTCTAACAAGTTTCTAACTGGTCTTATATCCTATTGGCTGGGCAACCATGGAAAAGAGAATTTCTCAAGTATTTCCCAGCCATATGTAGATGAATCCCACAATTCTTCCCACCAAATAGACATGTGTCACAACACATCAGCAATTTATTCCGTCTTATGCATATGAATTCCAATAATTTTCCATCGCACAAATACAATATAATTTACTCTTCTACATATATGTCCTAATATTGAAAGAATTGAACAAAACAAAAACTAATTACATGAAACAAACCAACAATTAACTTGATCATCCATTTACCTCCCACAGTTTCTGGAAATCTCATTTACAATCAGATCTCACCATGTCAAATAGCATTACTTCATCTCACATAACCCTGTTATGACATCATTGTAAATGGTCCTTCAATCCTAGCACAACTGAGCAACTTATGCCAGTCTCAAATATTCAAATCCTAATTTCTCTAGCAGATAGACCAATATACCATAATTGCATTATAAATCTAACCAAAATTGGACAACCCAGCTGCATGAATACAAGTTTCAACCTTTAACTAGAAAATAACATAAATCTTCAAATAAATTCCATTTACAAATGCAACACATGCGAGCCAAATTAAAAAAAAAAGAATAAAAAAAATCCTATAATTTAAAACTCCCATCTTTTCACCCATTATTTAAAACTCTCATCTTTTCACATTTTCTCCACAACAAAACAAGAAAACTAAAGAATTTTAAAAAAATCCATTATTTGGTTTCCAACAAATCTCTTCTTTTTCCCATTTTCAGACCAACCAAGCACAAAAAACTGAAGAATTAACAGAAACCCAGAGTTCTATTTCCAATAAAACCGCCAACCTTTCCTCATCTTCCCAACAAGCAAACAAAAAAAAAAATTAAAGAATTTCCACACAAACCTCTCACAAGCATCTTCAAGAGAAGAAAAGGGACGTTTGAAATCTGGGTGACAAACACGCCAAGCATCCTGATAAGCCATCTGGAGCTCCGCTTGATTCAATGGTCGGATCTGCTTTTGCTGTTGCTGCTGTTGCTGCTGCTGCTGTTGTTGCTGTTGTTGTTGTTGTGGTTGCGAAGGCTGTTGTTGCTGTAGATTTGGGGTGGAATTAGGATTAGGGTTAGCGTTAGTGTTAGTGTTAGGATTGGGGCTAGAATTGGGGTTTTGTTGGATGTTAAGAGGACGTTGGTGAAGAGCACCTAGAGTACCACGTAAATGGGCATCTATGTTTGACGGGAAACGAGCAATTGCTTGTTGTTGTGGTTGCTGTTGCTGTTGATGTTGGGCTTGTTTTTGAAGTTGTTGTAAGAGAAGTGATTGTTGCTGTTGATGATGTTGCTGTTGTTGTTGCTGCTGCTGCTGCTGTTGCTGTAAGAGAAATTGCTGCTGGTGATGGGCCATTGCCATTGCTTCCTCCATTTCTCGCTCTCTTTTCTTTCTTGTTTTTCTATGAAATCTATGTTTTTCTTTTCATTTGGTATAAAGTGTTTCCTGCTGAAAACAAAGAGTTGGGTCTTAGAATAAATGAAATTTAGCCCATTTAGACCCGATAGTGTTTTACTTCAAAAAATAGAAAAAAGCTCGGCCAAGTCCGTTCCTCCTTTTTAAAGGCCCTGTTATTAATATATATTTTTTTATTTTTATTTTATCATTTATCTGTTAATATTTTTTATTTATCTATTAATATATATTTATTATTATTTATTATTATTATTTTCTTTTTTATCTTTTTTTTTATTAATTTTCGGTTAGGATTAAGATAAAAAAAAATTAAATTTGACCGTAAAATTAGAGACTGACAGAATTAGGATTTGGATTCAAAGATGGAGTTGAGATTAATAAAAAATTATTTTGATCAATCCCTATAAATAGGTTCATAAAACACACAAACACAGGGGGAAGAAAACTGGGAGGTGAAACAAAAGCAAAAAAATGTTTAGAGACAGTATAGGATTTTTAAAAGATTTTTTTCAAATTTTTTGAGTTTTTTTATGAAATATTTCTGAAAATTTTTTAGAATCCAACGAAAATTTTCGGTGAATTTTGAATTTTTCGACGAGCTTTCTGGCCAGATTTGAAGATTTCGATGGCTTTTTTCAAATTTCGATAGAAATTCAACCAGAATCTGAGATTGTTTAGAGAGAAGGAGAAAAAAAGAGGCAAATGAGAGAGAGAAGGAAATAGGCAATCTGCGAAAAACGGAGGTGGGAGTCTTTTATACCATGCTAAAACGACGTCATTTTTGCGTTAGCAAACTCAAAGGATCCACATGTTTTGTCAAGATTCGACCTGACTCGTAGCGCACTCGAACCAGCAACCTGCTTTTCCACCCATATTTCAGTCGAGCTGAGCTTCGAGCCACGTGTTTGAGTCGTGATTTTTGTCTTGAGTCGAGCCGTTTCCCAACTTGAGCCAAGCCATTTTCAATTTTTTTTTGTATTTTTGTATTTATTTTATTTAAGTATTTTATTTATTTGTTTTTTTTTAATTATTAAATTAAAAATAAAGTAAAAATAAAAACTTTGGAAATGAATATTAATTATCTAATGATGAAATTTATAAAAATTTAAAATGTAAATTTTTATAAAATTTGTAAGTGAGAAATTTTATCTAAATTTATCTCAAATTGTGGAATAATATAGATAAAATTTTAATAACAATAATTAATATTTATTTTCAAAAAAAAAAATAAAAACATAAAAACATAAAAATATAAAATTTTTGAAATTAAATACAAATTATCCAATGATGAGATTCTTAGAAATTTCAAATAATAAATTTTTAAAAAATCTATAGGTAAAAAATTTTCTCTAAATTTGGTCCAAATTGTGGAATGATTTAGATGATATTTCAATACAAGTAATTATATTTTTTTTCAAATAAAAATTTGGATTGAAAATATTTGATAATTATCTAAATATGAGATTCATAGAAATTTCAAATGCTAAATTTTTAATAAATCTTTAGGTAAGAAATTTTCTCTAAATTTGACCCAAATGGTAGAATAATTTAGATAAAATTTCAATAAAAATAATTGTCATATTATTTTTTTCCAACAAAAAAAGGAGAATTTCTAAATATGGGCAAATGGTGGAAATTTTAGAAATTCAAAAGAGAAAATATTTCTAATTTGACCCAATTTGTGGAATAATTAGATTTATTTTCAACAAAAATTGATAATAATAAATAATAATAAATAATTTTTTTTTCGACGACAGAGCCTCTTCAAGAAATCAAATGGGATTCTTGAATACTTTTAAGGTAATGAAGTATTTTTTAAGAGCTCTACTAGATTGATGAATAATCTTAAAAATTGTTTCCAATATTTAATATAAAATTTGAAACTATTAGACTTCAAACCTTATGATAAATTTAAAATAATATGATACCATCCATTGGATGGGCATGTGGGGGTGCTATAACCTTTTTCATATGTAACCGAACTCTCGAACCCTGTTTTGGTTAGTAGATCCGAACCTATTCTTTTAAGGACTTTTAGTCAAGCTTAGAAATTTCTTAAAAGGATAAATTCCCTAAATGACCAATCACACTTAATAAAATATTTGTGACGACTCCATTCATTTGTTAAATTTAACTATAGATTTTTGGATCTATATATTATGACACTTATTTAAAAATTAAATTTTTATATTTGTCTTATGCACAGGCAAATGTATATATAATTATATTTGTAATATAATATTTTTTTAAAATTTAATATAATTATAATTTTAGAGAATAATTTAAATTTTATTTTCATGATTATAAATATATTAATAATGGTTGATAAAAAACATAAGTCACCCAATATAATTTTTTGTCTATCATTTTGTTTATAATTTAATAGATAATTTTGATTTGATTATTAAAAACACTGCTATAAAAGTATAAAACAAAAAAAGTGATATAGATATTTTTTCTTAATTAAAAAAATTTTCATTCATAAAATCAAAAGATCACAAAACTTATGAATCTCGTCAAAGAACGTTTCAATGTAAATAGAAAAACAATTGTAGTAACACATAATAATATATACAAACTAATTTCTAAAAAAAAAACACACACACACACACACACACAATCTAACACCCTTTGAGTTTACTACTAGAAGGCAAAAAATAATTATATTTTTTCTAATCCATCTTTGTTAAAAAATCAGCAATATAGTTTGCTTCCCCGAAGGAATAGACAAAATCAACAATTTCGTTTTTGCTTATAACAATTAAAAACTCTCAACTCATTCCAAAGTCATGAATCTGCACTAAATATCTAAGATATAATTGCTATTTCAAATCAAATACTATATATATTTACCTAATTTTAAGGGTACATAAAAATGATTAATTAGATAAAGTTATATGTTTAAAACAAATCAATATGGAAATAAAATTTGATATTAATTGTAGGATTTTTTTTGTAATGTTAATATATTAAATTTAGAACTTAATTGTACATATATTTTTTTTGAATGGATGAAGGAGTTGTATTAATATATATATATATATATATATATATCTTATATTCTAAAAGAGTTGAACTTACATTAAAACCAAACCATCGGTTTTTTCTTTTATTTTAATATTGTGTGTGATTTTTGTTATGAATCAATGGCATATCAATATGATATCTTGAAATATATATTTATCTAAAAATTGAATTGAATAAAAAAATGTCTATCTAAAAAAGAAAATATAGAAAATATAGAAAATTGTGTGTAAGAGTTTCAATTGTAATATGAGTATTTCTAAAATTTTAGGACTTGGTAAATGAAATAAGAGGTAAATTTCACAAAACTAAAGAATTTGTTCCATTTTTATAAGATTAGTAAAACTTACAAACTAATATTGTATATATAATCTAAAGCTTCATTCACTAAAAAACTAGAAAATAATTTTTCCATTTTCAATTGAAACAAAGAATATTTAGCTAAGTTATAATTAACCATATCATTTTAGGTCGATTTGGCTTATAATACAATATATAAGAATTCTTATAATTTAGCTCCCAACTAATGCATAGTCGTCAAATATGGTAGCATTCAAATTAATCAATTATCCTTGGAATTGATTGTAAAACCTTGCAAATTATCATAATCTTATGAAGTAATTACCCAAAATAAAATAAAATCGTTAAGCCTATGCTAACTAATACATCGTAAAAGAAAATAATTATCTAGCAACATCACATTCAACATAGAAAATATTATAAATTATAAAAAAAAATAATTATATTAAAATATATAGTTGATAAAATTGCTCTTCTAAAAATAAAACCTAACAATTACACAAATTAAAAATGAGTAAAATTTCAATAAACTTATAAAAGAATAGCGAGCAATACTACAAGGTAAATTTCTTATAAGAAAATAGTAACAAATTGCAATAAAACGAAGTTAAATTATAGTAAAATTCGATTTATTTAATATACTTTTTGGAAGAATATTTGTTTTTATATTATTATTAAGAGATATTATCGTAGATGTATTAAAAAATTACTATTTTTAATTGTATAATGTAATAAGAAATAAAAGACATGAAATTAATATGATTTTTGCTTCAAAATTACAAATTCTAAATTCTTACCTAATCTGTATTTTTAAAAAGAAAATAAAATATTCTCTAATTTAATGATATCATTATTGCCAACTTGTTAAATGGTTAATTTCTCTTTTCTCATTTACTACATTAAATTTTATTTATTTTTTCACGAATAATTGAAGATATGGAAATATATTCATGACTAATTAGCTTTTTATTTAGTTTCCATTTTTATTTGTATTATTAACAAAATTAATTATAGCTATATAAGGTAAAAATATTGGATATTTAAAAGGTAATAAATGTAATTAATTTGATCTAACTAATTATTTTTTAAGTAATAAAAATGTTACTATAAAAATGATAAAAATGTTTTAAATAAATAAAATACATTTATTAGAGAACACCTGGTGATTTTTTAAACTCATCTATATGTAAAAAATGTAAGATATTCACGTTGAACTATTTCCTTTTTTATCAAAGCATTTGACTTTTATTTATTTATATAAGATAAGGTAAAAATATAGGATATTTAATGGGTAACAAATGTAATTAATTTTGTCTAACTAATTATTTTTTAAGTAATACAAATATTACTATAAAAAACAAAATGTTTTAAATAAATACAATGCATTTATTACAGAACATATGGTGATTTTTTAAATCTATCTACATGTAAAAAGTGTAAATTATCTACATTGGACTATTTCCTTTTTTATCAAAGACTTCGATTGTTATAAATTTATACAACATTTTATTTAATTTTTCATGAGTAATTAGAAGATATGGAAATATATTCATGAGTATTTAGTTTTTTATTTAGTTTCTATTTTTATTTGTATTATTGACAAAATTAATTGTAACTTATTCATATAGGGTAAAAATATTAGATTTTTAAAAGGTAATAAATGTAATTAATTTGATCTAACTAATTATTTTTTAAGAAATAAAAATGTTTTAAATAAATAAAATATATTTATTAGAGAACATATGGTAATTTTTTAAACTCATCTACATGTAAAAAAATGTAAG